AAATAGGCATGAGAGGCTTGAATGGTATAGATGGTCTGAATGCATGAATTGATGGTGTAAAAGTTGATGCTAGTTTTGACTAACTATTGTAGCCTGTAACAATATATCACACCCGTATAATATGGCTCATAATCGGATAATATCACCTCTCTAATAGTCAATACTTTGACCAAATCCACTAGCCAAAATATGATTAACTAAAGATAAAGCAGCCAAACTTCGCTACAAAAATATTAATAACGTTATTAGTATTGATATCACATAGTTAAAATTAACCAATTAATAAAAATCTTAAAATGATAAAATTTATCACTTATTGAATCACTTGTATGTGTAGTATCAACCGATTGATGTTGGAATCTAGATCAATGCTCTAGATTTTGAATTTAAAGGTGTAAAATAGTTACAAACTAGGCATCATAGTCGGATGAATACTCTCCTGGCCTAAACACTCAACTAACACAACATGCACATCCAATCATTCCATGTACTGCTATAAGAAGCTATATACAACATCGTATTAGTTAGATGATGGTCTTCGATCAGCACAGAATTGGGTCAACGATCTTAGTAGAATAATTTGTACAAAATTGAACTGTTGTAGAACCCTCTTCAGGTGATGCAGCTCTACAATTGCCCCATACTTGAAACATCAAGTGAAAAAAACAATCTCGTGTAATGGATGTGCCTCTCATTGATCGACGTATAGTTCTTAGCACACTTTCATTATTATCAACCCATCTAGACACTTTTGTAAAGCTTATAATGTCTCAGCATAAGTACGAGCCTTCCATCATCGAGCACATGGTAGATCATTTGAGTATGTGAATACAACAATTGGGCCCAACAATGGAAAATTCTCATAAATTCATGCTTACATGAAATACATAAGTAATATTTAATTAGATAATCACATATATGAGTAATAATAAATAAATTAAATAATTATAATATGTTTTTAACTAATTATAAATACATACTTGAACAAGTGTCAGATATTTGGCGATTTGATGTAGTCTACCTTGCTCAAAATCTCAAGTTGCCTATATAAGTAAGTGAAGCCAGCTATCCCACAAACATAACTACCTGTGGCAATAAAGTCTTTCAATAGGGATAAGTACATTATCAAGACTTTTGTTGTAGTCTTGTCACAAAATAGCGTATAGCCTAACAAATATAGTAGAAAAGCCCAAGATGCACAAGCAAGCACCTCATCATCTAATGCATCAGTGACATGCCTAAAGGTATCACACAACTAATATAATTGAACAATAGATCCCTTACCCTATTCGATCTTGGATCTAGCCCTTTCATAAAGAACTCTAAGCAACGTAAAAAATATTGTGTTGGCCTTGTGCATTGTTAAATGATTCACTAAAATCATTATCTCAGTAATCGGTATGTGTAGAGGTCAAACACATCGTTGAGTGTGATACTCATCTCATCGAATGACATATGAAATGTGTTTGTCTCTGGCCGTCGCCTCTCAACAAAAGCAGACAGTATCATGTTGTTAATGGTATAATAGGTGCAATTGATGAGTGAAAATAACCCCAAATGGACATGGGTTCGGATCTTGTTGTGTGTATCGTCTAAATGTCATTGTTGTAACTTCAACCCGTAGCTAATTGATTTCAATGTATTACACTCTTGTAATAATAACAACAACAAAAACATCAAAAATTAGATCAACAACATCACAAAACTAAAAAAAACAACATACACAAAACATTAACAACGACAATCAACCAAAGCACTTTAAAGACATAAATAACACGATTCGTATTTTATGATTCGAGTGATTACTTGGCCATTCCAAATTTGAATGCAACGTGAGAAGTAAAACTCAATATAATAGAGGTATTAATTGAACCTCCTAGAAAATACTTTACATGATGCTCATCCGTGGTGGAAATCAAAGGCTCAACCTAAAGAATGTCATTGACCGTAGGTTCTCTAGCTCATCGTTCGCCCTTATTCACCTTATCCTCTTGAAGGCAGTTGGACACCTTTGACTCGAACTAGTATTAGCTCCAGTACCTTTGCCTTGAGTAAGAATACCTTCTCATTGTGTATGAACCATATTTATAATAAAACATAACAACTCATTAAGCTTATAGAATTATTTAACAAACTTTCATAAATAAAAAATGAGATTAGACAAAAAGTCCAATTTCTTCATCGTTAAAAAATATGTAAACTCTCAAGTTTAGACATGATCGGTCTTTATTGCATAAAGGATCGATCCTCTTTGTATAGAAAACAAGAAAATGGGTTTTTAAACTTTTTAAAAATTCATTTTCGAGAATATTTTAGTCTTATCATAAATGGATTTTTCGAGGCTTAAATTCACCCTAAATTCTACCGTAATCTCTAACTTATATTCACATGCATTTCAACCAAATTTCAACCAAATTAATAAAAAAAAGCCAAAAAACTTACCTTTAATCAGTGAAAAACTGAAAAACATAGGTGATTTGAGCTTAGGGTGATAGATTTAGGGTTTTTTTTTATTGAAAATGAAAAGAAAAAAAAAAGAGAACGAAAGAGTGAAAGGGTAGGAAAGAAAAATAGAAAAATGAGATGTGGAGTGTATTTGGTAGAAATAATAAATTTAAGTTTGAATTTGTGGTGTATGTAGTAGTGGGGTGCATACAATAAAAAAATGAGTGTAAATAGAATTCCTCATACTTCTATTTGAGTGGTTCTAAACACACACTTAAATTTCTTTTTACATCCCAACATATTTCTTTCAAAAATACCCATATATAAAATAGCAATTTTATCTTTTAGTAAATTATAATTTTACCCCTTTTACACCTCATGTTTAATGCTATCGGCTAAGTAGCACAATTTTCACTAAAAAACTTTACACCCCATTGACACTCTATTCAATGTTTAAGGCTCTCAGAAATTCATTTTTGAAAGCTTTAAAAGGCTCTCAAAAAGCCATTTCCTAGAAATCCATTTTCTAGAAGCCTTCAAAGTTTCGGAAATGAATTTCCAAGCCTTTTAAAACTCTCAAGAATCTATTTTCAAAAAACATGATTTCTACCAAATAACTTTCGTAAAAACCTCAACTTTCGCACAATTTCAACCAAATTAATAAACAAAAGCCTCGAAATCTTACCTGCAATGAATAGAATATTCAAAAAACCTTATGATATAGGGGTTGGTTGAATGATTTTAAAGATTAAACTTGATTGAGAGTGAAAGAATAATGAATAGAGTGAAAATGGTGTGAAAGGAAATATGACTTTATTGGGATATGGTGTATTTAGAAGAAATAGATAATTATATTTTAAATATGAAATGTATTTAGTAGTAAGGTATGAAGAGTATTTTTGTGGGTGTAAATAGAATTTTCCCTTTTATTTATACCATTTTTTCTCTTCACACATTTTTTTTAATTTTAAATGAAATTACTTAATTACTTTTTTATTTTTTAAATTTTAAGTGAAATTACTTAATTACTTTTTCTCAAACTAGCTTTTTCTAGTCTTAAGTTTTTGAATTTGTAAATCTGAAAACTTGCAAATCTAGAAGCTTTTACAAGTCTCTAGATTTACAGATTTGAAAACTTTTAAAAATTTTCAGATTCACATTTTCAAAAGCTTTTAAAAGTTTTCATCCCACATCTTTAAAATAAAATAAAATAAAATCCAAAGATTTACATGCTATAATTGGATGCTTCAGAGCTTTTATCTATCAATTTATAAAAGAGGTTATAATTATTTGAAATAAATCGTCATTTTCTTTTGCAATGTTGTGAAAATTTTTAGGATATGAGATTTTTTTTCCTTAATTGAATTTTTTGATTTTGTTGGAATCTCAAAAAATTAAATAAAATTTTTTTGTTAGATCGGGATGATATTGATTAGATGAGTTTTGTTAAAAACCCTAAACTTTAAATCTTAAATATATATTTTAAATTTACTAGATACAAATTTTTTTTTTGATAAGTTATATAACTTATCAAATATGCGTATCCAACAAATTATATAATTTGTTAGATTTTGATTTTTGAAAAATTTTATAACTTACCAAATATAGATATCTAGGAAGTTATAAATTTTATCAAATATGCATATCTAAAAACTTTTAAAATTGTGATTGAACAAAAGGTAATTAAGTCATTTTATTTAAAGATAATTTTGAAAAAGAAAATTGAAGAAGTGTGGAAAGCAAAAGTTAGGGTACAAATATAAGTTCCCTTCAATTTATAGTATTAGATTGATTGCAGTGGTGTTTTTGGATCAAATTTGAATAATTAAATTCATGGACTGAACTCGGATTGAATCCAAGTCCAATTCTACTTTGCAAAATTTTGAGATACTAATATTACAATAATATAATATTTTTAAATTAATATATAATAACATTTTAAAATTTTAAAAATAAATTATAAAACAACATCTTGAGTCGTAAAGTTCAAACTTCAAATATATTTCTCAAGTCAACTTGAAATAAATTAAGTGTTATGCTTTAAAAAAAAAAAAAATTTCAATCCACCATTTGATTTTGTATTTAAATTTGATCAAATATAAAAACTTTTATATGATCTTCAACTTATGACATGTCTTTTTTAAAACAAAATCGTGAGACTCAATTGGTAGAAATGGAAACATTTTTTATATTGATATGAACCATGATATTTGATATTAGGGTCGAATTTAAGGTTTTGATAAAGTACCATTGAAGATAATAAAACCTAGTTAGAGTGAAAAAGGATATCATTGATTATGATCTCGCATCAACTATGTACTAGAATTCAATTGGATATATAAATGTTTATGTCATTTAAAACATAAAAGTCTAATATATATTTAATATCTATTAAAAAAAATGTCTAATAAGTCAAAATGAACCATGCCTTACAAATTTTCACAAATTATTTACTTCATCTGTAACTTAAAAAAATGAGAATGATTATGGGATTTTATTCTTTGAGGGAGTTCAAACTAGTCTTTATTTTGATTTCTAAATTTTGAAGAATTTGAAGAAATATAATTTATATTTATGGTTACATTATACATTATTTAGCTCCATTAACTTACTGTTACATTAGTCAATCACTGAAACATTAGTTAGGTCAAGCTTGGATTGAGCTATGAGGCAGATTTAGTTGGAATGTAGCCAGGCTTGTGGACTTGTCATTGACTCATCAACTCTACCTACTTATGCATGTAAAGGAAAAGTATTCCTTTTGACCTTTGTACTGCTATGGAGGAATAATGGTTTGAGACTAAGAGATAAGAGGTTAGAAATGCTCTTTCATTCCAATGTAATGTAAATTGGTTTCTTCCAAGTGTAGGACAGAAAAATTATATAGATTGGTTCAAACTTCAAAATTAGAAAAGCATGGATTTCTCATTTCCAATTCAAGAGAGTTTAATAACTTACATAACTCTTCTGTATGAGGATGTGAAATGTTTCCTGCAACAAAAGCTGTCACCCTATTTTTCACTTCAATCCAACTATAACCAGGCATTTTCCTTACCCCTCGATCCACCATTGCTTTCCTGACAATCTCTGCTTCCTTCCACTGCCCACTAGCACAATACAAGTTGGACAATAACACATAACCCATATCTTTCCGAGCATCCAGAATGTGTAAACCGTCCCCTACACTAACCCCCATTCTGACATCCCCATGAATGGAACATGCTCCTAGCAACGCTTCGTATGAGCTGTTCTTAGTGTCGATTGTATCTTTTTCTGAGTATTTACCAGCCAACTCTTTTGCCTCTGCTAAATACCCACCCCGGCCCAGCATATCCACCATGCATGCTACATGATCTGTCTCATAGGTAAGCCCATAAACAGAGCCCATCAAATCGAAAAATAAACGACCTTTATCAATAAGGCCTGCATGGCTACAAGTCATCAACAAGCCAATGAAGGTAACTTTATCTGGTTTGATCCCATGTGCAACCATATCATCATAGAGCTCTAAAGCTTGGCTAGACAGCCCATGCATTCCAAATCCAAACAACATTGCATTCCAAGAGACCAAATCCTTCTCAAGAATATTGTTAAATGTACAGCTTGACCCTCTGATATCCCCGCATTTAGCATACATGTTAACCAGGCCATTGCCAACATAGACGTAGGCTTGAAAGCCATATCTAATCACACAACCATGGACCATTTTGCCAAACGCCAGTACTGCCAAACTTGAACACGCATGAAGTACAGCTACAAAGGTAAAATCATCCGGGCATATACAACTTCTCACCATCTGAACAAAGAAGCTAAGAGCTTGTTCTCCTTCCCCATTTCTTGCAAACCCTGCAATCATACTAGTCCACGAAATCACATTCTTCTCAGGTACACGCTGAAACACATTAAAGGCTTCACAGGTGTTCCCCATTTTTATATAACCGTCAATCATAGCATTCCAAGACACTTGACTGAGCAACCCTATAGATTCAAACTCCTTCATAGCAACATCCATGCAACCTAGTTTAGCATAAAAGCTCAGAATAGAATTCTTGGTTTCCACAGACAAGCTCCAACCGCTTTTAATAATAAGACCATGCACTGCATTTCCACATGCATATTCCAATGATTCAGTACACACAGTCATTAGAGAACTAAAAGTCCACTGATCAGGGCAACAACACAAACTCTCTCTCATATCTTTAAACAAATTAATACACACTTCAACCTCTCCGTATCGAGCAAGACCCGAAATCATACTATTCCAAGCAACTAACACCTTTGTCGGCATTCCATAAAAGGTTTCAAATGCAATATTAAACTGGCCAGAATTCACATAAGCATATAAAAGAGAGCACCAAGTTACATCATTTCTTTGACTTTGACCCATATCTTCGAACACTTTTCTTGCACTAGCGGGATCTAAGCATTTCCCGTACATATCAATAAGAGAATTATTAACAGGTAAAAAGGATTGGTAACCCAAAGCAATGATTAATGCGTGGAGTTTTGTTCCGTTTTGAAGTGAACCGAGGCCAGAACAAGCATTTAAAGTTGATGTGAAGGTGAAGTGGTCGGGCTTTGTGTTGGTAATTCTCATGAGGTGGAAAAGAGAGAGAGCATTTTTGTGAAGACCAATTTGAGAGTAGCTTGAAAGCATTGCGTTCCAAGTGACTGAGTCTTTTTGAGGCATTTCGTCGAACAGTTGGCGAGCGCTTGTGATAAGGCCGGACTTAGATAAAGACACGATCTTGGTCGTGAGTTGGTGCAGATTTGAAGGCATGTGTCATGTTTTGAAACCAAACGAGTTCTAAAAGTTGAAGTAAGCACTTAGACTTGGTTGATGCAATTTCAAACCATTGGAACTTGGTAGCAGATGTCGATCTCCAACTAGCGCTTCTTTCGGGTCTTTCAATTTTGATTTTCGGCTTGGGTTGTCTGTCTCTTTATCCAGAACATGCAAAAGGAAAGAATTTTTTTGGAGTTTCTCGTTATCATATTGGGCCCGGGTTGCCTTTGCTTTCTTACTTTTTTTTCTTCTTTAGAAGATCACAAAAACTTTAACACTTTTCTCTTAACATATTTTTAATATATATTTTTCATTGTAGTTTCCTTTAGCAATTGAGGATTATATAGCCATTGAATTTAACATAGTAGGCATTACTCTTCTCATACAATAAAGCTTTAAATTTTAGAAGTTTAAAACTCGAGCCTTAGCCTTTGATTTTAACGAATGATACTAGATCTAACTCCGATTCGAATTTTCCATCTCTAATTATAAAAAAATTGAAAAAAGTTTGGATTTCTCTCTCTTGATTAGTCCAAAGAAAAGGCAAACGATGCATTTCATGTCAATGCCACAATTTGTGTGCCTTTTCTTTTTATATATTTGATGTCGATCAAATCCTAATCATTAAAATTAAAAATACAACACTACTTGATGTTTGGATGCTTGGAAAGTGCGAGTTTGCTATTATACGTCCCAGCTATAAAATTCAAAGGCAAGCATAGCTTATGGTTGTAGAACATCCTCAAAAATATGCTTTAGGAGGTACCATGAAATAAATAAACTTAAGTTCCCAAAAAATGGGTTATTGTATAATACTACAAGTACAATTAAAATAAATTGTCATTGCAATGCCCTCTCCAAGAAATGAATAGTAAAAGAAACCAGCAAACGAGAGATACCGAAGAACAGAAAAACTTGGCTGCACGTGAATGATTAGCCAAATAAACCTTGTTAGTACTTAGACATAGTCTTCCGAAACTGTTCCTTTGGCACTGCAGAGGCAATGAAAGAAAAAGGGAAAATGATGTGCAGAATCGTTTGAAAAGATGGTAAAATTATTATGTAACAGTTAGGTTATTCTTACCTGGCAAACCAGTGAATCGCTCAAACTGTTCATAGGCCTGGCAGATGAACATCTCCAATCCAGAAACAGTCATGGCTCCAGATTCTTCAGCTTCTCGTAAGAGTCGGGTTATTTTAGGGGTGTAAATGGCATCGAAAACCAGTGAATAGTATTTCAAAGCATCCTGCAAAACACATAAATTGCTTAATTCTCTCACGGGTGCATGTCTAGAAGTTTGGTGAACAGACCACTCAAGGCCTGCTAAGAGAGGAAGGACATTGCAAAGTCTCATTTCTCTATTGAGAAAAAGAAAAAACATGTTGAAGTGACTTCTGAAATTTTCAAATGAGGATGTGGCATTCATAAGAAACGAAAATTGCACGGAAAAGTGGTGAACCTTGGGAATCGGTGTTTCATCAATATTTGGCTGCATTCCAATGGATGTTGAGTTGGCAAGAATCATGCCTTCCTCCGGATGGAAATGAGCTAATTCAGCAAGAGACAAAGCATCTCCTCCAATTATGTCTGCAAGCTCTCTGGCTCTTTCTTCAAGTTACATAGATAAAATAAATAATAAATCTCAAATTACTACCAAAGCAAACCAGGAAAAATAGAAAGGAAAAAATCTTTGCTAGTATGCTTTACCAAGAAAAAGGAACCATACCGTAGGTGCGATTGGCAATTACAACTCTCGCTCCTTTTTGCTTTGCACCATAAGCAAGCGCCTTTCCAGCACCACCAGCACCAACAACTACAAACAGTTTACCAGCTAAGGGTGATCCAGTAGGACCGCTTATGTTGTATCTAGCTGTCAAGAAAAGATGGGGATAAAGAACTTTGACCAAAATAATCAATTGAAAACTACATAGTTTGAAAAGGACAACAAACCTCGTAGTCCATCCTCAATAGCAGAAATAGCACCGACATAGTCTGTATTGTAACCAAAAAACTTCCCATCACTTTGTCTCCTTATAATGCAATTAACAGCTCCTATGGACTGTGATATTTAATCAAAGACATTCATCAATCATGCATGGGAATGACACAAAGAAAATGCTCCACACCTCATAGTTGCAGAATCACAAACTCCATAGATGCAGTTGGAATTACCTTAGCAACTGGATCTACCTCATCACAGCACTTCACTGCAGCCTCCTTGTGAGGAATTGTACAGCTGCATGTGAAATAAAGCTATTCAAACACATTATTTAAGTATATAAATGCAGTGAGCCACTAAAGCAGATTCATTTTGGAACATAGGCTAAACTACATAAAACTTATACTCGATAAATCCCCTTGCCACTCTAACATCATGCCACATATGTTTAACTATTCTAGATTGGAGCTTGTTAAAAACAGTTCAAGAGCAATTATGTGACTATAATGAAGTTTTTAAGAAATGAAAATGTCCAACAGGGGAATGAACCTGAATCCAGCAAAATCAGTGGATGAGTAAGTCTGGAGAAACTTTGCTAAGTCATCCACTAACAAGTGGACATAGACCCCATTGAAACCAGCTGATTTGAAAGCTTCATTGTACAGCATAGGAGATTTGCTGTGACCAACAGGCTTCCCAATAATTCCATACACTTTAGTATCAGGACCTAACTGCCTGAAATTATACAGATTCAACAGATCTTTAATAGTTGGTTGACCAGGAGCTGAAACAACTCCTGCCTCAAGAGTTCCAAAAGTAAGATAGCCACCAAATTTTGCACAGAGAATCCGTGAAATCAACCCCCTCTCGCCCATAACCATTCCAATTATAGGAACCTGAAAAGTTCAACAATGAATGATACCAGTGAATTTAACCATACAAAGAATCTTGGAAATGACCCATTTGGTCACTCTCATCAGTATGCAAAAGTTTTGGCAAAGATTACTGAGCACTTTACCCTTACAGGAACAGCCTTAATCTAAAACCTATTACTTGCTTCACAATTCTTTGTTAACCCGGCATATAACAATTAAACCAGTCATTTTAAACAAAATGATAAAAGTAGAGGTTATAAGATACTATTTCATATTTATATTCATGGAACATATGCTTCTTACTTGAGAATGCACAGTTATTTGAAAAATGCGAGCCACATCAGTGATCTCCAAGGCTGTTGTTGCTATCTTTACTATATCTGCCCCAGTTGATTGTATTCTTGCAACAAGGTTGCCAAGCTCCTCAACAGATGGAGTATTTTGATAGTTGTGAGAAGAAACTATAACTTTTATCTTTTCAGACTTTTTTCCATCAATGGATTGTATGAAGTCATGAGCAACCTTCAGACAGAAGCAATAAATATTTGCATCACTATAGGTGCAGTAGAGTTACACAAAATAATTAGATATAAAAGATGTCATGTTTCAACCAATAGTAAGAGACAAGCACTATACAATTCAAGTTTTCTGAAGCTACATTTTAGTGAGAAAAACCTTAAACTCAACATCAATGTAGTCAGCCCCTAGCTCCATGGCTAATCGAAGTACATCTAATCGCTGTTTCTCATCACCATCATACTGACCACCTTCCCATACTGGTCTGTAACACAAATTTAGAAAAGATTCATAAATATAATTATTGATATTTACAAGTTAAGCAACCAAATACTTCAACAAAGAGTCAAGGAACAAGCTTGCAACAATAGGCAGATAGTCTGAAAGCTCCCGACACCCATCAATATTACAATTTATGAGCGATCCCAAATTGGGTAAAGGGGAAATCCCTCAAAAGAAAGAAAAAAATGAAGAAAAAAAAAAACATTAAAAGTTGATTCAGACTAAAGCATTTAAGTTGTAAATTAAAAAAAGAAAAAAGAAAAAAAATCAATCTTGAAACCTGTAGGTGAAGAGTGTAGGCAAAGGGCATTCTTTGATTAAAACTTTGAGGTCCTGAGAAGGATTGAAACTCTTTAAAGTATCCAATCTAATTTCCACAAGATCAGCAGTACTAGCTTTAGCTTTGGCCATGTCAATGACCATCTTATCAATGGAATCAGCCATTATTGGAGCACAAATCAGTGTGGGATTCCTCCTCATTTCACCTCCACTTTCCCTTGTCGAGCCAGCAGAATATGAAACAAGCTGTTAAATTGAAACAGAAAACAATTAACAACCTTTCTTTGTTCACAATTTATCCAAAATGAATTCTAATGGAAAACGCAGGAAAGATTACCAGAGGGTTGAGAGTGTCCGTTTGGCGAAGTGGAGTTGACTGTGAGAAATGGAAGGAAGAAAGAGTTTGATAGTTTGGTGTTGGTCGGATAACTAGGCAGTTATATTTATACTTCGGGTCCAAATTGGTTGGTGGGACTGTGAAGTGTGAGGAACGATTCCATGATTTTTTTTTTCTTGGTGAATTTTACGTTTTGGTTGGTGAGGTCATTACGGCTGGTCAAAATCGACACAAGTTTAAATTAAAAATATATATATAAATAAATTTAATAAAAATTAAAAAATATATATTTTTTTATATGATAAATTTGACACCATAAATTTTTATCATTTATACATATAAATTGGACGTAACATGAAAATTAGCAGAAATTTTCTAACTTGATTTTACTTTTTCTGACTACCATTATTGATTGGGGAAAAGATTGGTTGCGGGTGGGGAGTCTGGGATAATTGTAATGAATGAACAACGACTTCCTACCAGGAGTCAACTTCGAATGATTGGAGTTTCTGTTTTACTTTTGCTTTCCCAATCAAATACTGGATTAAGGTCCATAAAGACCAACGATAAAATAATAAAAATAATTCATATCCATATCAGTGAAAACTTGAGAAAAAACCCACCGGTCAGAGGCCCAAATCCTTGATATTTGTTTAATCCTCGATGAAAAAATGCTTGCGAACATCCTGCCTTGATAATGTGTTATTTTATAATTCAACCTTTACATTAAAAATAATTTTCTACCTTTCTACCCAAAATGAGTAGGTCGAAAAAATGGAGAAAAACAGTGAATATTAGCAAATGGTTGCTTCATTATACAGCTCAGCATTTCTCTCCAAATTCATTCAACCATTGGAAAGGCAAGTTGAGTAACCAACTATTTTCTAATGCTCAGGCTTATAACTCAAATGTAGAGCTCTTTACAACTAAGATAGGATTAGATAAACATCTACAAATTGGAAAAAATGATTCGGTGCGCCAATGAGAAGGGGATCAAAGGAATGATGCCTCTGACCATAAAACAACTCCAGCTTCATCCAAGTTAATCTATGCATTAGTTTCATCCACACCTGGTGAAGGGACTTTTGTTTCTGTGGAGTCTATTTCCATATTGGAGAAATCAGTACTTTCAGCCTTAGGCTGCTGAGAAGCTTCAACATCATCATCTTCCAGTGGCGGTGAAGGAGCTTTTGTTTCCATGGGCTCTATTTCCATATTTGAGACATCTGTGCTTTCAACCTTTGGCTGATGAGAAGCTTCAGCACCGACATTCAATTGGGGTGAAGGAACTTTTGTTTCTATGGGGTCTATTTTTATTTTGGAGACATCAGCATTTTCAACCTTAGGCTGCTGAGAAGCCTCCGCATGATCTTCTGATTGGAGCTCAGTTGTAACTTGATCGTTGTGTGTAAGCCCTGGATTGGCAGATGCGTCAGAGATGACTTGTGAGGAGGATGGTCCTTCGGTGGGATTTGACTCCAGATTGCAGGCCTCAACAATATCAACCTCAGACCTATGAACAAGCTCTTTATCATCAGAATCACCACATTGCAGTGAAGATGCCTGTGCGTCTGAGGAGTTTTGTCCAACAGTAGAAGCCTCAACATGGTAAGCCTCTATCTTCCTGATTCCTGGGAGCTCTTGAAATTGATCATCTAGAACAAGCTCTCCTTTAGGGGACTCCTTGGTGGTAACCTCTGATGAAGTTGCATGTGCTTCTGAGGGGTCAACTTTTGTGTTTCTAACCGGAACACTATCACCTTCACTACCTGCAACTCCTACTTGAAGATGCATTTTACTGTGATCTCCAGGAAAAAGCTCCATGCTGGATGGCACAGCTGCAATATCTTTCTCAATGGATGCTTCCATTTCCAAAGGGTCAACATCCCTGTCCACATGACCACCCCCTAAACTCTCAATTCCCAGAGAGGGCTTCACCTTACCATGATCCCCAGGTTCAAAATCTACATTAGCAGATTCAGAAGCAACATCCTTCAGAGAAGGTGCTGGTTGTTCAGAGGGGCCTACTTCCTCATTGCTAACATCAACAGAGTTATCATCTCCCCTTTCAAGAGCCGATGGCTGTTGCAACTCATCATCTTTAGGCATAAGTTCTATATTAGTAGATTCAGAAGCAACCAAGTGGATGGGGTCTGACACCAAGTCCCTCGTATTTTTACTCCCACTAGATGGACCATCCACATTATCAGAAGCCTCGTGCAAAATGTTATTGTTGCCTGCTGCCATATCAGGTACTACAGGAGCAATGGAAGGATCATCGGACTTTGGGGAAACTTCTGGACCACCAAAAATGACTTCACCACGGGATTCAGAAGCTGCAGCTACTGGGTAATGATCACTAAGAGCATGAGATTTAGTTGAAATACTGAGAGCCTCGAGGCTTCCTCTCTCGGTGGCAGAGGTTTGTAAAGACTCTTCCAAAGAAGGTTCTGTTTCCTTTCCCAATTTATTCTCAGTAATAGCAGGAGGCTCCACCATGCCTGAATGAAGAGGACTTGCAGAAAAATTTGAAGTCACAGGAGGAACATCATCAACATCAGGTTTTGCAGACATTCCAGCACTTCCAAGGTTTTCAAAATCGAAGGCAGAAGCTTTTGGAGATGATTTCAGAGAATGCTCTGCTTCAAATTTAGAATTATTCTCAACCATGGCAGGTACCTCCACTGTGCCTGACTTATCTGGATAAGGCTCTGATTCACATTCAGAATTGTTCTTAACCATAGCAGGTGCATCCACTGTGCCTGATTTATCTGGGGGCTCTGATTCATATTCAGAATTGTTCTCAACCATACCTGGTGTGTCCAACGTACCTGACATATCTGGACAGGTAACATCATGCAATTTGATGGCATTCAGAGCACCTTCAGCACTTTCAACATTGATAGAAGAACATTTTAAAGACTCTCTTGTAAAAGGTTCTGTGCTGTTTTCAGATGGAATTGCAGTTGGATCAGGAAGGCTTCCAGCAATTGAATGGTCTGTACTCAAAGGAACTACTGCATTCATTCCAGAATAGTCACAAGCAACACTGGCCTTTGAAAAACTAATATCAAGCGGAGATGAATTTGAAAATTCCAAAGAAGCTTTTTTGTTGTCTTCAGAGCTGGCCACATTAGGTTCCATCAAAACAGAAGTAGGTGGGACCGCTCCAGAAGGATTACAAGCATCTCTGGCATTTATAGAGTCTATGGTGGATTTAAGGTTACCAGTGTCATAATGAGTCACTTCCAGAGAGTCTTCTGAAGAGATCACTGTTTTGTTTTCACAACTATTACAATTCAACTGCTGAAGGTCTATTTGATTGCTAGAGGGCCCAACAGTAAGATCAGAGCTATCTCCATTAGGACTCTTTGATCTCTGGGAAGCAAAAGCTTCTTTATCGTTAGCACTAAGATGAACTTTACAATCAACCTCCATGATGTTCTCGGTTATTGAGATTTCACAGGAATCCTGTCTGGAATCTGACTTGTTCTCAGGGCCACTAGCAGCCTGGCACTGAGGTACTGAACAAGCACTTTCTGTGATAAGGGTCATAACCACAACAGGACTTTTCTCCTCTGACTCATTTGCACCCGCATCTGTCCTGGACTGTTCAATATTCTTGTCCTGTAAAATATCAGAAACAGGAATTGCTATTTCCAAAGGTCGCATAGCTGACTCAGATGATTGTCTTTCTGAGGATTTAACTTCTGTATCGCAAACTTCAACATAATCACCCTTAGTAGTTTCAACTCCCGCAGACAGTTGCTTACCACCATCAACTTCTGGAGCAGGATATTTACTGGCTGATTCAGCAGTAAACTCTTTCAGAGAGGGCACTTCTGTCTCAGAGGGACATAATTCCATATTGTGAAACTCAACACCATTACCCTCCCTATCTTTAACCAACAAGGATTGTTGCAAGGCCCCACCATCTCGAGGAACAAGCTCTATATCAGTAGATTCAGTTGTAATAGATAGAACAGGTTCAGGTACAGGGTGACCCTTAGAGTCACTGCCATCAGCTTGACCATCCACATCGCAATTGTCAACAGAAGCCTCATTCAAAGTAGCAGTCTCACGAGCCGGAGCTGTGTCTTCATCCATAAAACAAGCTCCAAGATTGTTTGAGTTTTCTGAAGCTTCTGGACCTTCAACAACAATGACTTCTGTAGAGCATCCCGTAACTATAGAAGCCATGTCTGACTTGTCAAAGGATAAGCCACTCAAATAAACAGCAGATTGATCTGAAACCAATGTTTCTGCAGGAATATCATTAAGACCAATGCTTCTAGTATTTCCATCAGAAGCTCTAGTCATACCAGGGCTTTCTTTTTTGGTTTCAGAATCATTAATAGAAGGCACCACCATACCTGACACAGACAAAACCATTCTGGAATTATAACCAGTATTATCAGTTTTGGGAGCTTCTTTAAAAGCAGGCTCTATGTTGGTTTTATCACTCTCAGCAGTTTGAGGCAGGTCCATTATATGGAGAGAGTCCAGTTGAACTCTAGAACCTACTTGATCACCACCAGGAGCAGGAGTTCCTTGAGACACATCTTTCTTTTCACTAGCATTTAGGGGGCATGTACCATAAACCTCCATATTAGTATCTGTAATTGAATTTTCATTTGGAATCTGTCTTGTATTTGTAATGTTGTCTGACCCAGTATGGGTCTTGCATTCTGGTTTTAAAGAATCAGCTCTCTGAACAGGGGCATTAACCACAAGAGATGCAGTGCCCTCCAGTTCTTTTGCATCAGCTTCAATCTTAAATTGCTTTTTACTTTTTTCTGTTGGAACATCACAAGTTGGAGCAGCTTTTTCATGAGATGGTATGCTCACAGCTGATTTACCACCTAAACTTTGGTTCTGGACTACCTCCTCAAAAACCTTGCTTGATAATGGAGCAGTAGGAGTATTCCTGCCCTCACTCCCAGCAGGTTCGCCAACTTTAGTTTTTGACGAGCAGGTTTCGGAGAAAATCTCCTTCATCACTCGTGCAACATCATTTACATCAGCAGTCTGAATTCGACTAAATGCATGAATTGCATTAGTCACTTTTCTCTTTGAATCATGACTGACTGAAGCACCAGGAGAATGAACTTCAGATGCATATACCTGAGTGTCATTGACCAGTTCATGAGGGCCAGAATCTTGATTGCTCTTCCCTGCAGTAGCTTTATTGACCAATAAATCCTTTGATTTATTCTGGGGCTGACAATTTACTTTCAAGTCTTGGTCAGATGAAGCATCAGGAATTGCAGGTTTCCTTCCTCTACGCCTAGGTGCTTCTGCCCTATTAGTGGTCTTACGACCTGGCCTTTTACTTTGAACAGATTCAGTAGGACAGGAAGGGACTGACTGAGGTGCTGAAGCAACAGAAGCATAAGTTGGAAAAGGCTGAGAGCTCAGAGTAATCTTTGCAACAGGACTAGGGATGGTTTTATAGGCACCTTCTAAAGGATTTGGTGTAGGCAAAGACATCGTAGCACTAGCAACTGAAGATACAGGTATAACAGGTACAGCACCACCTTGGTTACCACATACCTCGCCAGACATAGCTTTTTGAGAACAGCATTCAGGTGAAACCTCCAAAATCCCAGAAGCCTTCTCTTTCACATCAGCATTTTGAATTTGTCCCACAGCAGGCCCTGCAAAAAGTCTCTGATATTGAGTGTACAACATAATAGCCATTGAACAAATTATTAAAGGATGCATCAATTTCATCCAGATTATAAAAATGCAATGTTCTTACCAAGGGTTATGGTAGTACTATTATGCACTTCCTGTGAGTTTTCAGGTTGCTTGCTTTGAGATAAATTATTATGTTCAGTAGAATGTTTATCCTGACCAGTTACAACAGCAGGTGCATTAGTTCCTTGTGCATGCTCTTGAGTAACCTTTGTTGGATTAATAGCCTCATTTTCTTGATTGCCTCTCATTGCAATGACTTTATTTGGTGATACATCTGCAGATTTATCCTGTGCTTGTGGATTCAATTTTGAATGCTCACCAGCCGAAACATCCAGAGCAGTACCTGATATTTGCACCTGTTTCCTTCCCCTACGCCGAGGTGTTCCTACTCCACTCTGAGCCTTTCGGCCTTGGTCTTTAACTTGGACAGGTACAGTAGCACAAGGAGCTGATTGAGCAATTGCGGCACCAAGGGAAGTAGGAATTGAATGAGAGTTTAAACTAACCACTGCATCAGCAGGGTGATTGGTTCCACTAGTACAATCCACACCAGAAGAAATAGGTAAAGGCTTGGTGCACTCAGCCATAGGAACACTGGAAACACCCGGAACAGTACCACTTATAGCAACAGCTTGATTATCTGGTGGATTAATTGATTTAATCTGACATTGTTCACTTGGTTCAGGAGCAGGACCAGCTAAACCATCAACGGTAGGGTTGAAAGCTGGTTCTTGTTTCTTTCCCCTCCGACGAGGTGCTTGTCCTCCAGTTTGAGCCCTTTGACCTTGTCCTTTTGACTGCACTGGTGGAGAGAATCCAGGTGGGCTAGATTGAACAGGAGTAGCAGAAACAGAGGGTGTATTTGGCTGCAAGTTAGGAGAAACTCTTGTCCTATTATGAAGATCCAGAGCAGGGGATGCTGATGAGCTAGAATCTGCTCCTTTCTGTAACCTGACATTCACTTTACTGGCTCCAGAAGGTGCTGAGAGCACTGGTGTAGAGGGAGATTTATCTGCAGTTGCTCTTCTTGGCCTTCCACGGCCCCGTTTAGATGGTGGTGTTGCATCTTTGTTCTGCTGCTGTGGCTGATGTGCAGGCTCCACCAGAAGTGGTTGTGGTAGTTGGGGAGGTTGAGGTGGAGGTGGAGGTAGAGGTGAAGGTGAAGGTGAAGGTGAAGGTGAAGGTGGAGGATTAGGTTCGATGCCACTAATAGTCCCCATTGAAGCAACTTTTGGCAGGTTCCCCTCAATAGCTTCTTCCTTCAATTTGGGGGATTCAGGTGAGTCAACTTGACAAATTTTTTCAAACTCCTCCTCTGTCCATTGCTCTTCATATGAGCGCACCTAATACAACAAAAATTTAAGATTACTATAAATTAAAGTTCATACTTGATTAGAAAGGCAGCTGCAACACTGAGCACAAAAATTTTTTTTAAAAAAAAAAGTAGAAGATAACAAACCTCTCTCGCTCGTTTGCCCCTCCCATACTGCTGAGTATCAAGACCACCAAGAGATTCACCTTTTCGTTTTACCCCAACATTAGGCTGTGCCCCAGTCTTTGGTACGTCATACAAGTTCATTGCTTCATAAAATTCTTTCAAGTCATCATCTGTAACAAGGCGAGATGGTAAAGGAGGTAGAGGCTTGGAGCCATCCATCCCTGATCCCAATACCAACTTTTTCCACTTTGCCTGCATGGCCATTATAAAAAAATAAAGTAAAAAAAAAAAAAAACCTGGCATCAAAATGGCAGTAAAGCAACAGGCCAGCATGTTTGTTGCTTTATGCTGCACATGATCAATGGATAAAGTGCATGTCTAAGAGACTTGTACACGTACCATCTCTTCTTCCCGCCTTTGTTTATCAACTGACTCAAATACATCAATCTCAGACTCACTGTATCAGAGAGAAATGCAAAAGAAAATATTAATATAAAAAATCATGCCAGTAACTAGAGGCTCATAAATATTATTAGAAAGTAAATTGAAAGTTAAATTACGGCATAACAATAAAATGCAGTGATTTCCAACTAGAAATTGCCTAGAGCTACGGATGGCAGCCCACCTGTACCCGACAGGTTCCGACCCAACCCGACCCGACTTCTTAGGGTCGTTTTTTTTAATCAAGTTTTGGGTCAGGTCGGGTCGGGACATGTAATAGCAAAAAAAATCAGAGTCGGGTTTTAAGCAAACCCGCCCCGCCCCAGCCCGACCCGATATATATAATTATTTGTTTATTTAGTTTTATATTTATATATTTTTATACTTATTTAATTTTATATTTATATTAAAAATAATATTTTATTAATTTTAGGTCGGGTTAGGTTCAGGTTCAGGTATAAAAAATAAATTAAAAAGGGATCGGGTCAGGTTCGGGGCAAACAAAAACCCACCCCAACCCGACCCGTTGCCATCCCTACCTAGAGCACAGAAAGCTGACTGCTCAAAATCTGTTATCTATATCAGGAATCCTTCAGCAGTCAAATACAGACACATAAATAAGATCAAATATAAAAACATACCTGCGGGCCAAGAGGTCATTTAGAGCATCATCATCTAACACTGGGGCAGCTTCCTCTTTCTTACACTCCCGCAGGAGGGACTCTAAGTACTCCCTACGGTCTTCAGCACTGTCAATAAAATCACAGCAATTTCCTCAAGAACATGAGCCTAAACCCTCTTGAATCTGCTTGTGCTCTATGCATTAAACTACATCTCAACAAACATCCCAATTTACCTTGTATTATTGTCAAAGAAACCAGCAGTGATACTCTGATTAGCAACTCCCAATTTGTGTTCAGCAGCAGCTCTGACTTGTTCTTCAACAGTTTGAACCTTATCACCGCAAATATAATCAAACACAATTCAAGGTACAACAACACAACCCAATGAAATAGGAAAAGATGAATCTTATAGTAGTCATAAAACTCATTAGAAAAAAGCTTATGTGGGAAAACACTTATTTACAGTTAGTTGTAATCTTGTGATCTTGTAATCTATATATTTATATTTGTATCTCTAGAATTAAGTATTTGCATCCCTAAAATTAAGGACAAAAAATTAAGATAGATAATCCCTCAATTATAGGATCAGTTTTAGGAAGATTTAGTTTCCTAATTTACCCACTAGTTAGTTGTATATAAACCTAAAGTGCTTGTATAATTCTTTATGAGCAGTTTTACTCTTACTTTTCCACACAGCTTTATTTTTTAGTTTTTCCACAGCTTGTTACTATAAAAAACTCATAATAACTTTAGAAAACAAAAAGGTACTTGATCCCAAACAATAATTAGGTGAATAGGAACATACTGTTTCGAAACGTAAAACAAGGACATCCTTCTTCTGGCCAATCCGATGAGCTCTTGCTTGGGCTTGCAGGTCAACCTAACAAGGACCAACAAAAAAATAAAAAATTAAAACCAATGTCAAAAGAAACTATCAAATAAATGTAACTTTCTATACAACCTGAGGATTCCAGTCAGTGTCAAATATGATCACAGTATCAGCAGCTTGAAGATTTACTCCAACACCACCAGCCCGAATACTGACAATAATGATAAATAATCAGAACTACAAGACTATTTACTCAGTAGTAAAACAACAGACATACACACAACCTAACAACCAGTAATTGATGAGGCAAGGAGTCCCAGTCTCATACTACACTCTTCCAGTAGATTAAATTCTTTTCAACCTCCCAAAATTGAGAAAACATTTGCCAGAAGTGAAAGGGTAATTTCCAACAGTGGGGTTTGCAGGTGTAATTTTCAAAAAAATTGTCGAAAAATTAACTTCAAGTTCAAAAGGATGCCTAGTACATATTAGCTATCCAAATTTAAATTCCTGATCCCCTTTAATGTCTCAACCCTACCATATATTATCCCCCAGGACATAACTAGTATAAAAGAAATTATAATAACATGACTGAGTTTCAATAAACTTCTAAACTAGAATTTTCCCTCCTTACTCCTCTAAACACTCTAATCCCTTGTCTCAATCCCGAAAGAAATTCTCTTTTAAAAAGCCAGTGCATAGATGAGCTTTTCTTTCTTTCTTTCTTTTTTTTTTTTGTAGAATGGGTACACTTTATCCATGACCTTTTTATTTTTGCAGGTAAGGACTTAGGAGACAAAATTACCTGAGCAAAAATATGAAAAAGGGGGAACCTTGTTGATTAAACTTATCAATTAGCGCACCACGATCATTTCCAGATGTATGCCCATCCAACCGAAGGTAGCGATACTGTTTAAAGGTGAGATAGTCTTCCATAACATCAAGTAGCCTAGTCATCGTGGAAAAGAAAAGAACCTACAAATTTCAAATTAAAGGAGTGAATCTTCAATGAATTGATCTTCAAAACAAAACTATAAATATTTACAAACATACATTAAAGAAGGAAGAAATGTGAAGGTTCTTGCATAGAAAATTACAGATGGTCATGTTAAACTGCTTCTTATGCATTCCACCAAGATTGAAAAGAACGAAGAGGGCTTAATCTAGAAATGCCAAATACTATCAATGGCACCGTGATCTCGAATGAAGAGGAACGAAACAAACAGAAAATGAAGCACAACCAAAAAACACCACAAGATTTCTAGAATATACCAACAATATTAATCAATAACATTTAGTACAAAGGAAAAGACACCCAATTCAGCATTAGCAATTTTTATGCAAACAAACTATTATGGTACCACAATGGATCAAAAGGCACCTGCTAGAACTTATTAGATCTTAGAATAACTGAATAAGAAGATTTGCCTACCCGATGATCAGTTGCCTTCAACTTGGGGAGTAATCGATCCAACATCTCAAGCTTTCCACAAAGCCTAATAATTGGTGGCAAATAATGCTGTGGTATTAAACTATCAACCTACAAAAATTGATCCAAAAGTTAGGTTTCTACTTGTAGAGGCAAAATTTATACCAGCCAACTATGAATACCCCTACTTTGCTACAAGTGTACCCATATTGTCTTCAACTATTGAGTGTTCCAACTTATCAACTTATCATGGAAAATGACAAAAAGAAAAATTAAAACACTAATGATTTGTTCCAAAATTAATTACATAAAGGAGATAAAAGGTCTATAGGAAGCCTCAGAAAAGAGACCATCCTATTCTTTCTTATCCTTTATCTTCCAGAATTCTTTACCAAAAGCAAAGCATCAGTAAATAAGAAAAGAGCATGCCTCCTCCGCATGAAGCTGGCTGAGATATGGATGATTGCATATATTACGAAGCTCCATAACAGAGTTGTGCACCGATCGAGCCTGCAAAATAAGAAAGATCAGAATTAACAACAGTAAATGTCTAAAATAGTGATGTGATTAGAGTTTAACTTTGCATGTCAATAAATGAGAACCAAATGTCCTATAAAACCTTTGGATTTCCAATTGCACCAAGATTTTCTTCAACCCTCTTCATCAAAAGTTTCTGATAAGCAGAAGCTTCACATCTTACAAGCCTCTCAATCTTCTCAGGAAGTTCATTTTCGACCTGCCAAAAGAAATAAGAGGATGCAAGACAATTAGCATACTAGAATTTTTTGAGCATCTTGATACCATACAAAACAATGACTACAAAACATTGTGCCCTTACCATTTCGTAAAGGCTAAGTTAAGTATTGGTTTATGATGAGACACTAAAACAAGCAAAGACAATCAGATTCAATTAAAAAATGATCCCTAACATAATATCCCAGTAAATACAAACCTTATGTTTCAGCCTTCGAAGTACAAAAGGTCGAAGAACTTGGTGGAGACGGTTTATGATCAACAAATTTTCCTCCTCAGATAGCAGGGCCTTGTCAAAAATAACCAGCATAAGCACATAATTTTGATGATAATGGAGAAAATAATTTCGGTAGCTAGATGGTAGAAGTTCACTACTTACTTCATCAGCAGAATTATCACCATTACTCTCAAATGGTTTATTGAACCACTGAGAAAAATCCTCTGATGAATTAAATATATTAGGCAACAAGAAATTGAGCAGTGCCCACAACTCCTCAAGATTGTTCTACCAAAAAAAAAAAAAAAAGATAAGTTAAAACTTAGTCATTACATTGCATCAACCCCAAAAACTAAAAAAGCAGCAGGAAATACATCTGGTTCACCAACAAAGAAGTGACAAAATAGATCCATTACAAATGTTAAATGAAAAAATATATATTAAAAGAACATCTGAAGAAAATTATCTGTAACCTGTAGTGGTGTTCCGGTCAACAGCAATCTGTGAGAGCTTTGATAGTGCTTTAAATCCGCATTCAACTTGCAAGAAGCATTCTTTATCCGATGACCTTCATCAATTACAATATAGTGCCAGTGAATTTTGCTCAGTTTTGGTCTATCATGCTTGTTCATTAGATACTCATATGTTGTCAGGAGAATGTTGAATTTCTGATGTACAATCCTCTCCCTGCACCAGAATGGATAACCAGGCTTACATACATTCTAAAACAACAAAATGAGATAAGAAAGGTTTTTATTCATGTCTGCACATCATTACTTGAATAATCTACGCCTCTCTTCCGGAGGCCCGGCATAAACAATTTTGTGTATCTCAGGGGCCCAGAAATTGATTTCTGACTCCCATCCAGGCAGAACTGAAGATGGGACAACCACTAAAAATGGTCCTCTGTCATTTTTGGTTTCCATTAGGTAGCAAATAAGAGAAATAACCTACAAAAACATATAATATTACGAATGTAAAAGTTTGACAAGAAATTACAAAATAGACCGCAATCAAGAGAAGATTCAGAACCACCAGTACCTGAACAGTTTTCCCAAGGCCCATTTCATCAGCAAGAATGCCATTCAGATGATTATTGTAGAGTGAAACCAGCCACCTAAGGCCATTCATCTGGTACCTGGACATCAAAAATACAATTTTAAGAAATTTCAAACAAGAGAATGAACACAGCATTCCCTGTGCCAGCCCTTCCCAAAAAACATATATTGTTGGCAAAGTTTATATTTTACTCACTCTCTTAATTTTCCACCCTTAAGAAAAGTTGGTTGCTCACTGATGCTTTCTTTTATGCTGCAAAAACAGTTTTACTGGTGAAACTTTAAGCAACTACAAATAATTCAATTAAGAAAAGAATTTTGATACAAAATGACTTCAAGACATCCAAAGTTTCATTGATTAAAAAAAAGCAGGAGAAAAATAAGCAATGTCTACAATACCTATGAGCCATCATGTAGTACTTTTCATTGCTTTCCATATAATGCTGCAGAGCAGATTAATGATAAGAAAAATTCAAAATTTAAAAAATGAATGAGTAAAAGCTTGTAGAAAAGGAAAGAGAGGAAGCAACTCCAGAAAATGCAAAAGAAAAATACTTGCCTTTGCCTCGTCTTCATTCTCAATAGCAGTGTCATTCTCAACAACAATTGCAGTTCGCATCTCATCCACATCATTCTCAAAGCAGCTTGCCATAGCCTTTGCACCCTGTAACTTGGACCCAAGTTTCTGAAGATATTTCTCTGTTTCTTTCAATAGTTGTTTAACACGATCTGATTTAGCATCCTGTAAAATATCAAGGATAATATTCAATAAGAATACATAAGATGAAACACTTGGACTGCTAAAGGCTAGTAAGCTTGAGCTAACCTGAACCATTCGCAAATAACCCTCCACATCATTGATTTTGAGCAAGTTAATCTTCTCACGCTGAATTCTGTCAATCTTTTCACGATGTATACGCTCCTTTCTCTTATGGAACTCCTTCACATATTTATTGAAACCTTTCCATCGTTCTCTCCTAATTTTAAACACATCATCCAGCCTTTCTCTGGGGTTTCAATTTACCAAGCAAGTTAGGATTTAGATTTATTTACAACAACCACATAAGACAAAGGCATTTAATGGAAAGAAGAAGCAAAGTGGTAAATACTTGTGAACTTCTATCTCACTGAAAAACTCCTTCTGCCTCTCACGAATTCTCTTTTGTCGCTCTTCTTTCATTTTCTGCTCATATTTTTCAAGTTGTTTTATCCTTCTACCATGTCTATGTTTCTTGTATGATTTCAGGCGTTCCATATCATTTGTAATTGGTTTGAAAAAGTCATTCAGAAAATCACTGCCAAAATTTAAGAAGAAAATGTCAAATGAAAAATCATAAGAAAATCAGGAAACAGCCAAAACCTACTTAGCTACGACCTTGGTAACAACAAACCAAGATAAGAAATACAAAAGATAATAACTTGAGGGAAAATTTTAAAAGCCAATTACCTGCGCAGGCGACGTTGGAGCTCTAATAATTGGAGTTTCTTCAATTCTATAACACTTTTGGTTTTTGCAGATATATTTTCAGATGAGCTCACATTTTCCTGCATGTGAATGCATTAGTTGCAAAAACATGTCCACATGCAATGCTAAATCCATAATCAAACCATGGATTTCTTTGACCTCCCTAGTATGGGGAAACATGATACAAGTTCCGCGAAAAAATGAAAGAACCCCTTTGTTCTTAAAAAGATATAAGTTTCAACACATATGTTGGGCAGTAGAAAATAACAACATCACAGGTATCAGGAAATGCATAAACAATGAGCTCCTAATAACACAGTTCAATGAGGAAAAAAAATTCAGATGAATGGACAATGTCAATAAACTCAAGAGAGTGCAAAATCCTTGTTTGGCTGATTTACCTACAAGTTATTGTACCATCCAGGAGCTTCTTACTCAATTATTCCAACGCACCAAAAGACCAATTTTACTCAGGTTTGCAAGCTTAAGTACTAAAAAACCCATTTCTAGCCAATAAGATGGCTTTACCCAAATTTTAAGGATGAATTCCTTTTACTATCTTGGTCACAGACTCTGGTGCAACATTACTCTAAATCTAACGCCAACTACAAAGCCATTCAGTTTGCTTTCACGAAAAGAAAGACTTGGGAAAGAAAGAAGACCTCCAAAACTTTTTGGTTGGAGAGGAAATGAAGTACATAAACTAAAAGTGGAAAGTTCTTTTATTAGCAGAATAGAAAATATGTGGTGCTCTTTCTACTTAAAGCTAACTTTCTACTCCAATTCTCACTCATTCCAATGAAAATTTTCAGGTTAATTTTACAAACTTTCTTCCGCTTTTGTTATTCATACAAAATTTGCAGATAGAAGGAGACACTTTTTCTTTTCCTTTCTATAGCAATGCACAAATATTAGAGCGAATAATAATTATATCCTTAACAATCTTGCAGGATGGCTTTAGAGATAAATCAGAAAGAAAAATAAGGTTATAACCAGGTATTAAGAACTTGAGAAGAAAGTTCATAACAAACCTTTAATTTGGTGAAACAAGTAACCATTCTTTGCTTTGTTTTTTGCTGCTTTAGAAACCACTTCTGCTCAGCTAAAAGCTTCTGTTTCTGCAAATCATTAATCCATCTCTCCAACATAGTGTGCTTTGGAGAAGGCAATGAATCAGTTGACACAGATTTATCTTCCTCATCTTGCTCTGTGGTAAAACAGACATCATTTCTTAGCATGTCATTAATAGGAATAACTTTGTACCCAATTGGGATTAAACTAGTTTGAAATTCAGAGAATTTTTTATCCTCTGCACCATAACCGCCACATCACAAAAGTTGACATCATTAAATCTAAAATGCTTAAAGATTATCATCTGTTCCAACTATATCAATAGATAAGAAGATAAGTGGCCATTAGCGAAAAGGATATGGATTCAGTAACATTACCGGGACTTTGAAACTGAGAAGGAGCAGTATCTTTTCTCTCTAGCACCAAATCATGCTGGACTGCAGCAGCTCGCAAAGATGCCCTGGAAACCTCATTATGACAGCCAATTCCAGACCAGCCCATCATTTCAGGGTTCACCTGTGTATTTGCACCCATCACAGAAGAAGCTAGATCAGCCTTTCCAACCTGCAGATGGTCATTCTCCATGCTATCCACAGGGTTACTAACAGTAAAGCCACCCTTTGTAGAAGCAGAGTCAGGCTGTCGAAACATTATAGTTGAATATGCCTGTGGTTCCACTGTCTCTTGGTTCTGAATTTCAGCCTCTGTCTTCCTTGTAGCTAGAATATGTTTCCTTTCATCCACAATTGCTGGAAGATCAAAAGGTGGGCCATTATTCTCCTCCACTCTTAGTTTTTCTGCTTCTTTTGACAAGGAATCAGCCTCTGGGAATCTTCCAGTAGATGTGGAGCCTGAAGGTGCATTAGTCATCCTTCCAAACGGCATTGCAACTTCAGATATGCTACTTGGCTCATTGGAAGTCTGTGCTTTGCCTCTATGGTCATTCAGCTCTTTGCGAGGGCCATCTGTATTGCCAACTGATGATTACCAAGTAAATGGATATTGAAAATGAAATTTGCAAAACAAATAAATAATTAAAAGCCAACCTTCTTTAGGAAATATGTTTCCAAGCGCAATTTCAAGATGCAGCTTCTTTGGCATCAACCCATTTCTGCAAGCGGACAACCGCAAGTTATACAGAAAAAAAAAAAAAAAAAGGATAAACAACAGACCACGACAAAGATTCTTATCACCTACAACCCCATCACAAATAGTAGCATATATTGCAAGAAATTAGTACAAACCTGAAAGCTAAAAATACAAGGCACTGGGCTCTAAGCTGTTTCAGATGTTGTTCCTTGAAGGGCATGCCAGAGATTGTGGCAGATTGGGAGACAGGAGACTTTCCCATATCTCTTGGTGCTGTGGCTCTAAGCATGGTCATTTCTGAGGTACTATTTTGCCTGCCAACCTAAAAAAGAAAACAACATAAAATGCCAGCAAATTCAGTACACAAATCAACGACACTCAAAGCAACATATTCAGAAGTAGTCCAAGTCTAATCATCACATCCCATTCCTCCCAAAAGGGCCATAATTGAGCCCCAAAAATGGCATTGTTATTCTCATTATTGAAGTCATGGTGACTTAAAGAGAAGATGCATGGAAAGTAAAAACCACAATGATTACCTGAGCTATCTTATTTGCATCTGCTAACATATTTGAACTTCCTCTATCATGTTCCAAAACTTTTCCAGCAGAAAGTGTTGCAGACAACCCATCAGGGCTTCCTGCAGAACCTTTGGATAATCCATGCTTCTGACTCTCAGAGCCACTAAATTGGCCTGAACCTGGGAACACTAGTTCTCCTGCAGGATATGTGTTAGATGTGGCAGGCAGCCCTCCTTGAACCTTCCCAAAACCACCTGAAAGTTAGACAGCATGAAAAATGTGATAATTATTCATCACAGACAAGATGATCTCCATTATACAAAATGTCCAAGCTTAGTCAAAATTGTTAGTTCCCTTCCCTCTATGGCTTGCTACCAACAAGAAAATGAGCCATTCTCAAATATCTTTACTCAATGAGAGGGGCAGGGGGAGAGGTTTACATTTGAGTGGGCCAGGTCAAAAAATACAAACATGATCCAAGATGCTTAATAATGTAGTCCGCAATCAAGACCAAAATGGGTCCTGGATATATTTAAAATTCAATAAACCTTTATCAGAACCCAAAAAAAAAAAAAAAGAAAGAGGAAAAGGGAAACTAATAAAGGATCTCATCAAGAAACAGATTCTCTAACTCAGACAATCTGATGCTAAGGTCTCTTTCTCCTTTTTGCCTAAATAAAACTGAAAAAACAACCCCAGGCTATTCAACCCATGCCAATTAAAAAATCTTACAAACAAACAGAAGTTCTTTCCATTTTACAATCTAGACTCAATACTCACCTGGTACAAGAGATGCATGCATTGACTGCTGAGATGCAATTTCTGCTGTCATGTTGCCAGAAACAACATTTGGGGAAAACCTGTGAAGTTGAGATCTGTCAAAGGGTAACCCCGCCTTGTTTTGATTCCATACACCACCTCTGGAGGAAAAACCATCATGTGCACCAGGAAGTCCCCCTTGCTGCTGTCCAGGAGCATTTTGAGTGGAAGAAACTTCCACTTCTTCAGGATACTTTGAACTAGGAGCACGTGACATCAAATTGTTAATGTTTGTTGAATCCACTAGGTTTTCTGTTATATTCTGACCATCCTGTCTACCTCTAAGCATTGATCTCATAGTACCAGGTAAGGATGGAAAATGCTCCATTTGGCCACTATTTGGGACCATATTGTAGTTAGCAGGGCCAGATGGTTCAGCCTTATTCATCTTCCCTTTCCTTGGATCAATCACAGCATTACGAGAATCAAGTTGCTGGGAATTGTCAAAATTTGTTTCCAATGGTGATGATGAATCACCCCTCTTTCGCTTAGTCGCAGCCTTTTTACAATCATTTTGACTCATTTGTTTGTCTTGTGATTGTGAGTTAGCAGAGCGCGTATCCAAACTAGATGGGCTTTCATGATCAAAAGACTGACTACCCCTATGAGTTCCAGCTCCTTGATAATACTCATGTCCAGCAATGCTTGGGCCAAACAGTGGCCTGCTGGATGAAAATGGATCAAATTTAGGCATCTCATTGTGGGCCAGTCCTGCTTTAGAATCTTTTGGAACTGCAACAGCCTGAGAAGATCCTGAACAAAAGAGTCTCATTTATAATCGGTTAGTTCAGTTTGCCACTTAAGGACGAGGACACATTTATAAAATGATTCTCCATAAGAAGCTAAATAAAGTTTGATTAACAGCAATTTACCAGCATATTGTCCCGATGCAGAATCTACTGTTTGAGACCCAGCAGTTTGAGGAAGCCGTGATGACTTCAAAGCCTCAAGATCAAGACCATGTCGATTGATAACAGTCTCCATTGCCCTAAATAAAGAAAATTACATCAGAGAAAGCAGCAGAAGCTTCCAGGGAAAGGGTGGACATCCTCAATGAAAATTTGACTTAAATAAAGATCTATATCTTTGAATAGTAAGTTCTATACTCCATTGCAACCATAGAGATATTAAGAAGAAGAAATAAAAGTTAACACAATAGTTAAATAAGCCAGAAAACAAATGCAAAAGGCAGATATATCCAAGTACATGGACAGAGATATTAAATAAAGAAAAATAAATAAAAACTGGAGCATGAGGATTTATAAAGTTGCAATCTGAATTTTAGGTGAGAGTAACTTTATTGCAGCTCAGAATACTTTAATTCAAGCTAGGAAATTTAACCAAGTAGTCTGGAGTAAAATATATAAAGTTAAACAGCAACTGTCACATGTATGAACAAAGCCAAATTTAAACTCCAATTTCTACTTTAATTCAAGCACATGTTGCTTAGTAAAATATTAAACATAGCTCTATCCAGAAGAAAAAAGCAAAAACAGCTTCGTTTGGGGCAAAAGAGGATGGACCAAAGTAAAACACCATGTTTTAACTGAGACCAATTTAACTTATGTCCAACCATATGCATGGTAGCGCAATTAATGCCCTGATAACAGAAGGGATTACACTCTTAGTCAAAGGTGTCTAACAATTGCATGACTACCTCAATTGTGATGAAAATAGTTCCACCTGTCATTTCACTATTTATAAAAGGAATATAAGGCTCTACCATCCTTTTAAAGGCAACCAAAACTAAAATTCAAGGGTCAATTGATAATCAAATCAAACAGTGCGCAGTCAACCAAATTTATTTATTAGATCCACTATTATCTGAATTAACTCAATGTGCTAATTTGCAATCTCCATAGAGATGAAAATAACTTGGGCAAATTCTCTCCCCAAGTTACAAAACCCGACAGTCTTTTAATAAGAACTCTTAATGAAAATCAAAACATGACAGATAAGTCAAAAATACTTCACCTTGATATTACTTGAAACGGCATTGAATGTTCCTTCCCACTAGATTTCATGTGTTGCAATATCTAAAACACTCATGGATAATAAAAATTAGCATCCATATAAATGGTATTAAAATTTAGAGCTAACTAGTGCACAATAAAAACAACTTAATTGTCCAAAAAACTATGCATACCACATAAAGTTTTGTTGCCAGCTTCGCTGGCTCATCTTTAGAATCTTGAATGAGTTTGTGCAAAAACTTCGCCGCCTCCAACTCAACATTATGTGAAGAAGACGCCATCTCCTCCTATGAACTGTAAAATCAACAGCCAATAAGCAAGTAAGAATTTCTCAGTCCCAGCTCCCAACTTACCAGATTTAATCTCTACTTTTTCATACCAAATTTGCCCTTAGATAACAAGAGAAATTTCCAACACTTATCTAATTGCTTAGTCTTATCAAATTTTTGATTCAATATATAATCACAATCAGGATGAAAATCGATAAATCAAAACAACCAAAATACGGATAATAAGCAGAGACTTAAAATTTCCCACTTCAGTAACCTCGTTTTCATGGAAGCAAAGCATGTCTAAAATTAAGCTGAAAATCAGTAAATTAATGTCCAAAACTATCTTATCCCACACAGCAATGCTAATTACTTAACAGTTTGTTTGTTTCTCGAGAATGAATGCTCTTTTTCGCGGAAAATTTATTTTAGCGGCGAACAAAAAAAAGAAACCCTAAGCAACTAAATAATGATGAGAGAAAAGAAGAAAAAAATTACCTGATCGGAGATCGAAGAATTAGAGGTCAGCTACATAGAGAGAGTGACTCAGATGTGAAACTTCTTTAATAAAGGAAAATAAAAGGAAAAAAAATGGAGTTTTGGTTTTGCAGGAATCAGAAGAAAGGAAGCGTAAACAGCATGCTTTCCAAACACGTACCTTTAACTCGCATGTGCCGAGTTTCTTTGGTTGAAATTACTTTTTTGCTCCTATGTATCTTTATGCTATCTGGATCTACTCTTGGGCCTCTAGCGGCCTATGGCCATGTCTCCACCGACCTATCCAAATAAATGTATTCAGTTTTAGAGGAGTTATTATGGAAATTTGATGTGATTTAATTGTAATTATAAAATTTAAATTGAAATTTAATTATTAATAAAAATTAGATTTATTCAATTAAATTATGTTTTTTTGGTAAGAAAATTAAATTATGTTTAAACAATAATACATTCATTATTAATTTGAATTTTGTGGCTGGTCAAAAAAATTTTTGAATTACGTGATTATGATCAAGCATGTTAAAATTCTATAACAACTCTCCTGCATAGGGTGCATAATATTAAAGCTTTTACAATTCAAACAATCAAATTAATTAATGAACTTTTCTTATTTTTAAAAAGATATGTATTCCGTTAAAAATAAATAAAAAGGATAATTATTCTATAAATTTAAGATAAAATTTTTATTTTTATAAACCGATTCATGCAATTGTCACATATTTATTTAATAATTAATTCATTTTTAAAATATAATGAAATGAAGGTTCCGTTTGTTTTGTAAAAAATAATTTTTAAAAAATAATTTTTATATTTTTAAGTATTTATTTGATAAAAAATTGATTAATCAATAAAAAATAATTTATTGATGAAACAAATAAAATCATATTTTTTGAAATTACCTTACAAATTTGAAAAAAAATAATTTTCAAAAAATAATTATTTATGAGTAGAACTATTTATTAATACTTTTAAACATAATTTTACTTATAAATAATATTATATTAATAAATAATTAATATATACTAATAAATAATAATTAATAAATAATATTATATTATTATATATTAATAAATAAATAATATTCTAATCTTTTAATAAATAAATAATATTATATTAATAAATATTATGATATTAATTAATAAATAATATAGTATTAATATAATGAATTACAAAATATTACATTAATTAATAATATTATAATATACTAATAACTAATATAAAAAATAATAAATAGTTTTATTTTAAGTATTTTTATATTAACATAATAGTTTAATATTAAATATTTTATTAAAATACAATTATTTTTTAATATTAATAATTTTAATAATAAATAATTTCAATATACTTTAATAATAAATAATTTTTAATATTCTAATAGTTATATTAATATTATTTGAAAATTTTTATTTTTCATAAAATAACTAAACAACAAAAAAAAATTTATTAACTCATCCAAATAAAAACAAATCTTTTTTAATTCAAAAAATGTAAATATTTTTTTAAAATTTATTTTTTGAAAGACATTTTTCGCAAAACAAATGAAACTAAACATTTGTCAACTTTTAAATTCACTTATAAATTTTAAAAAATTATTATGGATATATTGAATAATCATTTTCAATAATAATCTTTATTGCTTGTAAAAAATGAAAATATACAAGGATTTATTCTTCATTGGTGTGTGCTGGCCAGTGTTAAAGATAATGGAAAGAAAATTGCTCGTGGAAATGAAATTGGAAACGAGAAAAGGTTATAATTTAAGTCCCATGAGCTCAAGCTTGATTTTAAGATTGAAAAAATACAATTTAATTATAATTCAATGGATTGTAAAAAAAAAAAAAGTAAATTTCAAGATTTGTCATTAAATTATTCATGATTTCCAAATCAATCATTCTACTTTAATTTATACCAACAAGATCCTTGAAATTTTATAAAAATGCCAAATTTAATCACTCAAATGAATTTTATTTAAATTATTAAGAGAAAAGTGATATAACAACCTAGTAAGAGTAAGAAAAAAAATCAAGAAATTCAAAAATCGATTTAAAATTGTAATATTCGATTCAGATCAAATTCAGATATTAAATATATATATATTAAGTATAAATTAGATTTTAAATTAGAAGATAAAAAATAAAAAAAAATTAAACCGAATTGAGTTATATATTTTTCATAATTTATATATATATTTTAAATTTTATAAAATAAAATAATAAATTTATATAAAATTTACTTAAATACATTAAAATTTTATATTAAATTAATATATAAAAATTATAAATTAATAAATAAAATTTGATTTGATTTTAATTGAATAAAAATTTAATTTTTAAAAATTTATAATATTATATAACATTTTAAAAAAATCGAATCAGAATCCTTATCATCCTTACAACTTGATAGATATAACCAGATCAACTGCCACATGGGCAGATAAAAAAAAAATTCTATATTCACCGCCCTGTGGCAAACCTGCCACCCAAGCATTAACAGCAACTGAGACCCAAGAAAAAAAAAACCAGCGTCCAACTGATACACGTAACCTACAAATAGAATCATTGTAGTAACGTTATTTATTGTTATAGATTCATCAAACCGAAAACTATACTGTGATGCTAGAAATTTATTTTTTATTTTTTACTTGAAATGACAGTGGCTTGTTTTGTTTCATTTTAGGGTGAACTTGAATGCCGATAAATTGAACCTTTAAACACAGATTTTGGATATGATCCCTCAACACCGCATCTTCCTCTTCGTAAACCAAATGGTAGAGACCCACAGTAGCCAAGCCATTCAAGAGGCCTTGCAGGACTACCTGAGTCACCGCCGACCTCTCCCATTTCCTTTATTTTCCTTCCTTCACTTTCACCGCCTCCGCTTGTGGAAAGCCTTTCCGTTACGCCGTCAGAAGCTTCTCTCCACTAACGCCCGCTTCACCATGGTCTTCATGCCGCTAATCCTTCTCGCCTTGATGACATGGTAGATCCTATTTAGAGTTGATTTTTTTTACCGACGTGCGTAATCCGTGGCCGATCGTCGTGGCGTTTTATGTCATCGAGGAGGACATCATTAGATCCTCCAGATTTGTCTATGGCAACCAAATGCCGCGTAACTGGTGAGTAGACTTGCTTCTCTCAGAGGGGTCGGGTCAAGTCCACTCTAATTGGGCATGCCCGTGTTCTGTTCCTATTTTAAGCATTCAAATAACGCTTCCCCACCACATCTCATTTGCTGGTAATGCTTGGGTGGTGGTAGGCTTGTGCATGTGGTGGTTAAACAGGTTTTTTTTTTTTTTTTGTAAAATTTGTTGACTAATACTAAAATTTACTTAAAAAAATAACTTAATTGAATTATTTATCATATTTCAATCAAGTTTTCAATTTAATTTCTCGCATGTCACCAGAATTTTGATCATATGTAATTTTAAAGTGGCCCCACAAGATTTTATTTTAAAATGAACACAATTGAAATTCTTTTCAATTTCTTAAACATTATTTTTTGTTGCATATAAATCAATTTTGCAACAATTTTTTTGATGAAACATAAATAAAAGTATGGTTCAAAATTTTATTCTCCAAATAATAGCTATTTGAATTAATGATAGGTGAATTTATTTAGATTATTTGAATACTTTTACTAATTATTTTTGCTTTTAAAATTTTATTATAAAAGGAAGAATAAAAAGATAAAAAATAATATAATCATTACATTAAGATAAAAAAAATATTTAAAATATAAATACCGAACATAACATAATTAATTTATGTAAAAATAGAATCATGCATTTTGTTATATTTTGTGTATAATCATTTAAAAGCTTTATTTATATTTTGCATCCAAGTTCTTTTTTTTTTTTTCTGTTTTCGAAAACAAAAAATAAATTGAAAAATCGCCAACCAAATAAATCGACTTTATTTTTTCTTCCAAGAATTTATATTCATTAAAAAAGTTTTTCAAATTTAAATGTTTTAAAGTTCAAAGCTTCAAGCCCAGTCTGATGTGGCCTAGTAAAAAATACGTTTGCCCAGCCCATCTTAAAATCATATCATGTTTAAGCCACGTGATTTGGATTAGATGCTGCCACGTAAGCCCGACATATATAATTTTTTATCCTTTTTTGATTTTCAATTTACATTCATTTCCCGCTCATTTCTACAGTTCCTCTCTTTCTCTCTCTTCATTTGACAAATAGCTAAAGCCAATATCTATCTATCTCTCACTCGAATCCCATCTATATCTTCTCCCTTCAAAAAGCTCCCAACAAATCTTCTTCCCGAAACACCATCCACCGTTCTCCTAATTTTCAGATCGGAACCCTAACCTTCTGAACATGAACCATTACCACATCTACGAAGCCATTGGTCGTGGCAAATACTCGGTAAAAATTTCTTATTCTCTCAGATTCACCAAAATTTTCGTCTCGATTAACTTCGATTTTGCTACTTTTTTCACTTAAAATTTTCAATATTTTTGATAGACTGTGTATAAAGGAAGGAAGAAGAAGACGATTGAGTATTTCGCAATCAAAAGCGTTGATAAATCACAGCGGAGCAAAGTTCTTCAAGAAGTAACATCCGCTTTTTTTTTTTTGAGATGATTTGAATGATTAATTACTAATATTGAAAATTAAGCCGCTATTTATACAATTTTAGCTTGTTTCTATTTTTGAAACAATTTTATAATCTTGATATTGATGTTTAATTACTAATATTAGTGCAAATCAAGCTGCTGTTTATGCGATTTTAGCATTTATTTTTACTCTTTTGCATGATTGTTTTTTTTCAGGTTAGGATACTTCACTCTTTAAATGATCCGAATATACTAAAGTTTTACTCATGGTATGCTTTTGCCCAATTTAGATATTTTTCTTGTAAAATTTTTTGCATATTTAAATTTTTCTCAATTTTGTTTCTTGTGTACCAAGGTATGAAACTTCTGCACATTTGTGGTTAGTTTTGGAATTCTGTACCGGTGGAGATCTCATGACCTTATTACGGCAGGTACTTATTGCTCGCTTCTTTTTTTTTTTTTTTTTTGGTTTTCATTTCTTTTAAGCATGAAAGGAGCTATGGAATTTTGTTGGTCTTATTCACTAAGTCAGATTTGAGGATCTTGAATGCGGGAATGCTGCTTTGGAAACAGATTTTGAGTTGCATTATCAAATTCTTTTTATTAATGGATTGCAGGATGGTCAACTGCCGGAAGATTCAATTCATTTTTTGGCCTATGATCTTGTCAGAGCTTTGCAGTAAGGATATATGTTCTTTTTCTTTTTTTTTTTTGTTTTGCAGTTTGCCATCGTGAATGTAATTTGTCTTCCGTGAGTTACTAATGGAAATGTTTGTTGTTATTAGATATTTACATTCAAAAGGAATCATTTACTGTGATTTGAAACCATCAAACATCCTTTTGGATGAGAATGGGCATACAAAGGTACCTATCCTCTATAACTTTTTCATAACATCGAGTTGCTATCATCGTACTTGCTATGCAATTGAGTTTCACATGTGTATTTGTGTGATGCAGTTATGTGACTTTGCACTTGCAAGAAAGTTGAGTGATATATCTAAAACACCTTCTTCCATGGTAGGTTCTTGTAAGCATTGTAACATTCTATTTCTATGTGCCGTATACATGATTTAAATTGCCAATTTAATGAAGTTCTGTAAGTATTCTTTTCACTTTTCCCCCTTTCTAAGTTGTTTATTATTGTGCTTTCTGCTATATGCACTTGTTTAGCTGCCACAAGCAAAACGTGGAACACCCTGTTATATGGCCCCTGAATTATTTGAGGATGGAGGTGTCCATTCTTATGCATCTGATTTTTGGGCCCTAGGTTGTGTGCTATATGAGTGTTATGCAGGAAAGCCTCCTTTTGTTGGAAGGGAGTTCACTCAGCTTGTAAAATCCATCCTCTCAGATCCGACTCCTCCACTCCCAGGAAGTCCAAGCCCTTCTTTTGTCAACATTGTTAATTCTCTCCTGATTAAAGATCCAGCCGAGAGAATAAAGTGGTCTGAGCTTTGTGTACATGCCTTTTGGAGGACTAAAGTTTCTCTAATACCTTTACCTCCTCAGCCTGCTTTTGAAAACATGATTGAGTTATATGCTAAACCATGTCTCTCAGAGCGTAATGGTGACAGATCTTCTCAAAGCAGGACCCCTCCTAAATATAGAGAAAAAGATTCAAAAGGGTCTTCAAGAAAAGATGAGAATTCTCTGGTGGGTTTAAGAGGCCATGAGACACCAGCTAAGGGTACACCAACTGGCCGTAAAACTCAAACAAATGCTTCTGGCAGAGGAGTGGAGGAGAAGCATAAAGATCATTCTGGTGCTATTAAGCGTGTGAACCTCTTGAGGTTATCTAGAATAGCCAAAACAAACTTACAAAGGGAGAATGAGAAGGAAAACTACCGAAGGCCCTTTCCCAATAGCTCTGAGAATGAATCTGAAGTTAAAATTGAGAACACTGATATGGAACTTGATTTTGATGAGAACACTGAAGAGGAAGTGCATGATGAACCAGATGGGTCAGATGTCCCGATTTGTACAACTGAACAAAAAATTTCAAGTCAGAATCAGCAACAGCTCAAAGTGGAAGAGAGGGATAATAACATTGACAAATCAGACAGCCAATCTGTGAGTAATTTGCCTGCCTCAGATGAATCAAAAGCATATGATCAGGAATCATCTTCAGATCATGTTGAAGTGGCTGCTACCCCACCCAGTGTCAGTTCCCAACACAGAAACCAGAGAATTAAGGAAAGTCCAGGGTCTGCCTTTGAGTCTGATTGTTCAAAATCATCCAATAATATCTCCCAAGTTCTCTGGCATCCTTCTGATCTTTCTGTAAGACCTGTAATGCCAAGCAGAAAAGCTGATAAAATGTCAGAGGTAATTCCTTCGCTACCGTTTGAGGCATTGCAATCATCTGATTTTGTAAAGATGTCAAAGGAACAATTGGATGCATTCACCAATAGGATCGTATTGATATTTGGTGGAAATGCTGGTATTGGTGAGAAGCAAAATGTGATTAGATACCTTGAGATGCTTGGTAATAATGCAGATGCAGCTAATATCTTGACTAATGGCCCAATAATGCTCATGCTTGTGAAAATGCTTAGGCAGTCCAAGACTTCAGCTTTGCGTGTACAACTTGCTTCACTGATTGGCTTGCTGATCCGGCATTCTACTTTTATTGAAGATGACTTGGCAAATTCCGGAATTTTAGGTGCACTTACTGATGGTCTTAGAGACAGGCAGGAAAAAGTGAGAAGATTTTCTATGGCTGCTTTAGGTGAATTACTGTTCTATATTTCCACTCAGAATGAGCACACAAGAGATAACAACCCACTTGAATCTCCATCAAAAGACAACAAGCCTGTATCTGACTGGCAGGTCTGTTTCATATGCCATTGCTCTAACTTTGAGATTGTATACCTGATATTAATAAGTGGAATCTTGATTTTCTATGATGTTGCTTCTTATTTTTTCATGCTTCAAACAAGTCAGAAACTTCCAAAATACAATGTTAATAGAAAGTTGTGAATATTTAATCAGAGAAACTACTGAAATATATGATAATAGAAAGTTCTGAAGTATTTAATCAGATGCTTTAAGAGAACTGTTGGTTGTGCAATACCCTTATGCCTGTTATGTTTCTTTCCCAGCAGATTTTCATTTATTTTTAATTATTTGTAAGGATTTTCTTCCCTTATTGGCAGGTTCCAAATTCATTGATTTCATTAGTGTCATCAGTTTTACGTAAAGGAGAGGATGATATGACTCAGCTTTATGCACTTAGGACCATGGAAAACATTTGCAGTCAAGGTGCTCATTGGGCATCTCGTTTCACCAGTCAGGATGTGATTAGTAACCTGTGTTACATTTATAGGGCTGCAGGGAAGCAGGAGAACATGAGGCTAACGGCTGGATCTTGTTTGGTTCGCCTTGTTCGTTTCAGTCCCCATTGCATTCAACAAGTTATAGATAGGCTTTCACTCAAGGATACTGCATCTGCTCTTAACAAGGGAAGTCTGCGCGAGCAGCAAATCAGCTTAAATCTTCTAAATATGGCTATGCTTGGAAGCCATCTGTTCACAAATATAGGACGGTACCTTCTACCTTTGGTGGAGGACAAGAATCTGGTTCCTAGTCTTGTGTCTCTTATTGAGCAAGGAAGTGAAGTTTTGAGGGGCAAAGCACTTGTTTTAGTGGCTCTTCTTTGTAAGAATGGTAAGAGATGGTTACCACAATTCTTTTGCAACGCAAGGTTACTCCCCACAGTGGACAGATTGGCAAAAGAGAAGGATAGCTATCTACAGCAGTGTCTAGATTCATTTCTTCATGTTGTGGCATCTACAGTGCCTGGCTTACTGGATGGAATAACTGGAGATATTCAGCAAATGATGGGTGGAAGGCGACATGGGCAGATCTCTGCCCTTACCAGTCGTGCAGCTCCAAAGAACAATATTCATTTGTTCCCCGTTGTTCTTCATCTTCTTGGGAGCTCATCATTTAAAAACAGATTGGTGACTCATCAGGTCTTGCGGCAGTTGGCAAATCTTATCCAAGTTGTAGAGACACCATTTCAAGTAAGTAGTTGTTTCTGAGCCATCTTTCTTTGTCATCACTGATTATAAACTTTTGACCGCATATCTTCATTTTTCTTTACAAAGTCAAGATATAGTTTCTGTCAGCCACTAGAAAGTATATACTGTTGGGCTTGATCTCCAAGTTGACTATCTAAATATGTTGAAACTTTGAATGACATGTTTGTTGCCAGATGCATATGTACCTTGTCTTGAGCAACATGAGAAGAGAAAACAAGAAATGTGATAGATTGGAAAAATATCCGTTGCAAGTAGTAATCAATGCCCATACAGTCATTGCAAACTTTGTTAAATTTTTCTAAGATAGGCCTCTAAAAGAGTATGTAAATGATATATTCCAAAAGAAGTTTCTACCAAGCTGTTTCAACGGTGAAATACTTCTGCTAGTTTTCTTTGCAAATTGCTGCAAATTCTTGGCCCAATTATTGACTTTTTACCACTTTAAGATGTACAGAGTGGGTTCTTTGCTCTCTTATGCCAAAGTTATTAATAAATATGATAAATAATCATCACAAATACTGACACAGGCTATCTTTTTTGTTGAACAGGGACGGGACGACTTCCAAATAACATTATTACGAGTTCTGGAATCTATACCAGAGGAGTCTCCGGTAATCCTTGAAAGCTCTAATATTTTTATTCATGGAATTCTTCCTAGCCTTGCTGTTCTTTACAAGGGCAATAAAGATGGTAATGCCAGATTTTTGTGCCTCAAAATTATGTTTGATGTGATGGTCGTCTTCTTGAATGAACCTTCATTAATTGATCAAAGGTCAGAGGATCTGAAATTGATATCTAATTCTCATTTTCTTCCTCTCTACCCCACCTTGATTGAAGATGAAGATCCCATTCCCATGTATGCGCAGAAGCTTCTAGTGATGCTAATTGAGTTTGATTATATTAAAATCCCTGATATTTTAGAACTGAAAATGGTCTCCAAATGTTATGAATTTTTGCTTGGCGATCTGACAAATGCAAATGTAAACAATGTCAAACTTTGTCTGGCTTTGGCTTCTGCTCCAGAGATGGATTCTAAGCTGCTTTCGCAGCTAAAGGTAGTTCGGAAGATTGGAAATCTTTTGGAGTTTGTATACGCAAAGGATATGGAAGACTTTCTTGAACCAACTCTTGGCTTGTGCAGGGCTTTCCTTCTGCGCTCTGTAGGCGGTAGAAATGGTTTTGTTTATACAAAAGAACCCACACTTTTAGCTGATACTTCTTCTGAGTCAAGTGGTCCAGTTGATCAGCAGCACTGCATAAGAGATATAATGGATTTTGGCAGCAATATTGGAGTCTTGTTGGAGTTAAGTGCATCTCATGAAGCAAACATCGCAGATGTAGCATCTGAATGTGTTGTATTGTTGCTCAAGGCAGCTCCAAGGGAAGCTACAACTGGATTCCTAACTAATCTTCCAAAGGCAGGTTCAATCCTTGAGTCCTGGCGCAAGGGCATCTCTCACTTGCTATTGCTGCGGATATTGCATGCTGTGGGTTATTCCTGTAGGCAATACCTGTCCCATGCCATGATACTATCAATATCCATACCTGAAATTACACGGATCGAAGGCATTGTTTCTGAGCTGAAAACCTCAAGTTTACCTGGATTGTCTAATGTCGCTTCCCTTGTAGTCTCGGAGTTGCAGCGGCTTCCACGTTGCATTTGAAGTTCTTGAGGTCGTCTGACTTTCTTTTTTGCTTGTTTCCTTTTATAGATTAATATATTCTTAGATTTACTTACGTGTTACAGGCATCATGGAGCAACTGATTTTTCAAAAGGACATAAAAATGTTTATGCAGTTCTGGACTAGCCGACTAAGGTGGTCAAAATGATCCATGTTTGAGAGGTGAGTTATATTTTATATCGTCCTGTTCTTGGCCTGTAACTGTCTAATCCATGTATGCTTGGTATCTTCTTTGATCTATTCAATTTATGTTTTGTTGGTTCCTCCAAGATTTTACTTGAAAGAAACCGCTGTACGTTTATGCATTTCCTTATGCAAGTTTGATACAAGAGGCATGGAACAACTTTATCGTCCAATCTTAGGGGTTGCCTAGCCTATATTTCTTGCTTCAAAGGGGCACCCAAAGTTGCTTATCCGTCCATAGACCTTGCCTCACTTGAGCTGGGCCTTGAAAATAAATTTTCAAACTCGGATTCGGTCCAACTTGGGATTTTATTTTATTAATAAAAATTATTTATTATATAATTTTATTTTTAAAATATATTTAAAATATTAAAGTATTAATGTAAATTATTTTTAATATAATCGGATACAAAGAGGGGTTGGGATCAGAATGGTATTTAGATTACCAACTGGCAACTAGAATCGGCTTTTTTGTTGAAAAATTAATATATTTATTTAGAGTCTATTATTTCCTCCAGCTGTGTAATATACTTTGATTCCCGAAATATTAAATAGAAAAGATAATGTGCTGAAAACTATAAGTTAAGTTCTTACCATTAAAAACTTTAATTATTGAATAGTTTGTTATTCCCATTGAAAATTTTGCTTCTTTTTAAAGGAAAAAAGGTTCTTAATTTTGTTTCGTATTTTCTCCTCATATCAGTTTAAGTAAATTTATTTAATGAATTTAGCGAATTCACGAAACTTGTGTAATTAAAAGATTTTTCTTTCTTTTGTTGGCAATGGTGGTTAGAAATCAAAAGTGATCTTAAATCAGTTTGGTGAATGACAGTTTGCTTCAACTACCTGGAGCATCAAAATTTTAGTTTGCTCATCTCCAATATATATTAGTTACATTAAAGGTCGGAAACCAAAAATCAGATGTCCTTTCACTTCGAACTCATGTACACGAGGATTGTTTGTTCTTGTTCATGTTTTGCCCATTGTCTTCTGTTCAGTAAAGCCGTAATTTCCGGGAACTTAACTTTTTGTGTCGAAACAAAACAACTGTTCTTTTTTTCTCTGTTTTTACACCTTTGGCCCAAAATATTCTTGCTTAATCTTTCCTCAAAGTAAATAATGTAAAAATCCCCAATCCCATAAATTTGAATTGATTCACCGAAAAAAAGGGATTTGCCAAATTCACGGGCTCGTAAAGGAATCATCAGCTAACAAACATGTCACAACAAAAATTCACTAAGCTTTTGTCTCTTTTTTTTCTACATTGCCAACCTGTATTTTCACATCACTGGCCCATTGTGGATTGCCATGTGGCAGTTGGCCCCAATTGGATCCCCTTAGTCTTACCTTTTTAAAGGACTCCATGATCACTCCCAACCTAAAGGCTCACACCCTTTCTCCACTTTCCTTTTGCAAAGGATTGATCATTACTTGATATATCCTATATACATATATATATATATAACATTTTACATTCTCCAATAAGTGTGACATTGATTTCTTTATCATTAGAATGGCCTCCTTTTGGTTTCTCTTACTCTTTATCATCATGTCTTTCATGGCATCATCACCTTTGCTATCTTTAGCTTCTTCATCTTCTCAGTTAAGTTCAGATACCCCTACTATTCCAGCTTCACCAGAATCTATGTCAGATCCACCTATGTCTCCTTTCCAAGAATTGTCACCAGATATTGCTCCCCTTTTGCCATCTCCTGGTGGAGTTGTGCCCACAACTGGCTCATCCATGCCCACCATTCCTTCCAGCCCAAGTCCTCCAAACCCGGATGACTCAATGGCGGCAGGTCCCGGCTCTGCATTTCCACCATTTGGATCATTACCAGCTTCCGCCACGTCTCCTAGAATATCAGTTGGGTCTTTAAACTTAGCAGCTTTTTTGGTTGTGGTAGCATATTGCGTATTGCAGCTTGTTAAAGTACTGTAAATTAATTTGTTGGTTAGAAAACTTCAGTCTTTGCTCATCTTCATTTTTTTTCACCTGTCATAGTACATGATTACGATGTATCTAGCTAGCTAGCTACTCCTAATACAGTTGTTTGCTTTTACGGCTCCTTTAAAGAGTTGTATTAATTGAAATAAACATCGATTGTTGTCCATACATAAAGAAAAGTTGAACTACTTTTACTTAAATTGCATTTAACGTAAGAGTAAGAGTTTCGTTTTTGTTACACTGTCAGTGTAATTTATAATTAGCTTTTGACACAAAATTCAAGTGAGATAAGTTACTCAATCATTCGAGTGATTCGAATTAGGATAAAAATATTATTTGAGTCATTCGAGTTAGGATAAGATATTCAGTTCGATTTAGGACATAAATGTGAACGACACATTTGATTGAAATCATCTAGTCTTCGGTTAAAAAAAAAAACAAAAAAGAAAATTTTCTATTCTTCACAAGCTTTCATGGCTTTTTAGATCCTGAAGGACTTACGATTTCCCTGCTTCCAATTGTTGATAAACAATAAGCAGGTGGCACATGGTTTTGTGCCCGCAACTATGTTTGGCATGTGAGACACACCAAACGACCAGGTGTTCGGTACCTCTTTTATTGAAGAATCCATCACATGTTGGTTGATCTTGCTTAATAAAATACTGGTGTTTAGGTGAGCCTGTTTTGTCTGTTTTGAGGCTGTCATCTTCCTTAAGATTGTCTTTTTCTTTCCTTTTGCTTTTACCCCATTTCTACTTTTGGAGTCCCATACTGCACTTAAGAGACCACCACTTTTGCTTTGCCACGATGAACTCATTTTTTCCTTCTGTTCAGGGGAATGGCAAAAGGCAAAAAGAAAAAAAAAAAAAAAAAGAGGGAAGATGTAAGAGAATTAGGCTTCACTATTTGATAATAAATAGATAATTTTAAAATTTTTATTTATTTTGTGAATATAAGGCTTAATTCAAATGGTTTATTTATTTTTCTTAGAATATGGATTCTTTCATATTGAAATTTGATCCTTAGCATTTGTAAATTTCTTTTTTTATAATTTTTTAAACATTGACTTTCTTTGTATATAAAAAAAAAAGCTTAATGTTTGAATAAATTTAAAATGATTAAAATGTCTTCTTCATAATTCTTTCTTCCTAAACAAGTAAAACTGGACTAAGATTACTATTTACCATCTTGTACCTAAGATAAAAATTTGATTCATCAACAGGAAAAAAAAGAACTCCTTGGAGGAACTACCCTTTCTTTTTCTTCTGTTAAGTTTCCAAATTGTTCTTGCTTTTCATAATTACATTACCCTTGGCTAACTTTGAGAAAAACTTCTGGTTGAATCAGGAACAACTTTTAACCTTTTTCTCAAGGTAAGTAATGGGGGTGAAAAATGGAAATCATTTAGATGACAGGGTGTTCTCAGGATTCAAAAGGCACTTTTCAAAGTTCAAACAATCAAACATTACAGCTAGAGAAATTGACTGAAAAAAGTAGATAACGTACTAAAATACTATTCATATGTAAAATTTTAAGAGATGATATTTATTAAATTTTGAATTCAAATTGCTTTTGATTTATAAAAAAACAAAATTTTTATAAAGAGGAAGAGAGATGACGGGATTAGAATTTACATTTACATGCTTTTTTCAACGTCTTTTAACCATTAAATCAAGAGATGAAAGGTAATTTTAAATTTAAATTTGAATACTTACAATTTTTTTCTTATTTTAAAGTATCCCAAATTAAAAATCTTTTATATTATACAAAAAAAAACAAAAAAACAAAAGTTTCAAATGATTATCATGGATGTTTATTGGAGCTTTGGAAGGATTCCCACGTGTACCAAGTTACTTCTTCATGTCTCAGGGTTAACTTTAACAACGCTCTCATTGTTTGTTTGTATTTTTCCCTTTTTTTTCCCCAATTAATTTGAAATTTAATTAGTCAGGTTGGAAGGTGAATTAGAAATTTAGAACTGAAATCCCACCCAACTTAAAAACATTAAAGGGTGTAGCTTACTTACACCTTTCGGGTCAAGTCGGGTCCTGTTTATCTTGAGTTGTCTAGTCGGACGCAGGTTTTTCTCGGGTTGCCTGGATGTTTTCAAGATGTCCTAGCCAAGATGAAGAATGATGCTTAATAGATACTCAAACCTGTGGACTATCACGCACTCTCCTTTAACATCAGTCATCTTTTGAAAACCCTAAACCAACCCAACTCTATTTTTCCCTCGAAAAAAAAGTAAGCAATGCAAGAAAAAGGCATATAGTCTATAGCATTTTCAAGGTGGAAAAATGCTTTTGGCCTGGAACATAATGTGTTTATGATAACATAAAATAAAACTATTTGAACTAAACTTAAATAATTATCCAAGTCTTTATTATTTTATTACAATCTATTAAAATCTCAAACATTTATTTTTAATTTTTAGATAAAAATTGATTAACTGTCTAGGCTTATTTTCGTTCAATTAAATAAAAATAAATATTTAAAGCTTCAATTATGTGAAAATAAATATTTAATAATTTAATCAAATAAAAAATAAATATTTGACGACTCATTAATTATAATAAAACAATAGAAACTTAAATAATTATTTAATTTTTGTTTAAGGGTTTTTTTTTTTTTTTTGAGGTACTTGTGCCTAAAACAAATGCCTAAGGACAACAGGGAAATGAGACATTTGAGTTTTACATAAACTGTAAGGACAATGATGAACAGCCAAATTTCAAGTTGGCTCATCAGAGAAGATACTCTGGTTTAAGCGTCCATTAGCAACAAAACAAACTAACAGTATGACAACAAGGGAGAGGCAAATCAGGGGTTTTTAAGGGGACTTTGTCACCCTCTGTTTGCAGCAACATCTTAAGCGTTATTCTTTTCCTTGAGCATCTCAATCAGATCAGCTGCGTCCTGAACAGTGCTAATACTCTGGGCACTGTCTTCTTCCACACTGATACCGAACTCCTCCTCAAGTCCCATCACAATCTCAACCTGAATCAAGATATATTGGCAGTATTGGATGTTAATACACACACACACACACACATATATATATAGATATATTTGAATATGAACATAATAGATGCACCTCATCCAAGCACATAATGTAAAAACAGAAACAGAATAATAGCAGATCAGTCCATAGTCAAATAGTGATTTTTTTTTTTTTTAATACAAGAACATCATGAGAAGATTTTGAAACAAACATCCATACTTGAAATAATACGACATAACTTCAAAAATATATTTTCAACCAAGAACCAAATACATATCGGACAACACATAAAACACAGTAGATATTTGGTTACCGTGTCAAGAGAATCAGCTCCAAGTTCGGCAAACTTTGACTCTCCGGTGAGGGAAGAACCATCAGGTAGTGCCAGTTGCTTCCTCACTATTTCACAAACTTTGTCCACAGTCTCTGGTTTGGCCTGAACATATTAACATCCCCGTTGCCGGTTAAGAACATTCATTCTGACGGAGAAATGCATTTAAAGGCTTCGTATCACCACAAAGGACAAAAGGACTATCCTCCCATCATTGTAATGTGATTGACAAATGCAGTACATGCTTGCATATTGCATATAGTCAAGATTTCAAAGGACATAATAATACTCATCCAGGGTAATACATATGTATGACGAATTGGATCTCTTCAGATTGATAAATGTACCTAGAAACAAGTCTGGCTTGGGCAATACAGCCATGGTTCATGGTCCTTGCATCTGTATGATTACATATTTATGACCATGTTTTAATATTAGATGGACCCTATGATTGGATAGTAGGCAATCTTGTTTGTCATTAAAGAAAACTGCATAGCTAAATGAATAAGTTGATGGATGCAAATGCACAAATCCGAGCAAAAAACAGAGCAGATGGAAAGAAAAGCTTACCATACAGGAAACGCGGAAGCCTGGCTGCATTCTAAGAGATGGGAAGCTAACTGATTTGACATTAGAGATCCCACGAAGAGGTAACTGCTCAAACAGAATTGAATAAATCAACAGAAAACCTCTATTAAAAGCAGAACATCTAGACAGAACATGACAACAGATGCTGTTGCATGTTTGACTAGGAATCACATAACTTTGGGTGTCTCACACAAAGCATATAGGCAATCAGCTGGATTGAGTTCGTTTGAATAGCTTTAATTCTTCAATCAGAAAGCAAAGACAACTTTCATGGAAATGATGAAACAATCATGAAAGATTAAACTTAATAAGTATTTCAAATTTCAAGAAGCCTTTAAAGTTTATGACTTTATTAGAAAATTCATGCAACAACAGATCAAAGATTGCATCTTTCCAGTTTTCAACTATTTACATGATTAAATTCTTTAAATATTTAAATTTCACCATCAAATCCAAAAACCCATAAAGGAAAAACACTTAAAAAGAATTTAAAACAACCCCAAGAAAAGAAAATCAAATCCACCAAAAACTCTGTCACTACCCAAAAACAAAAAACAGAACAGCAATATCAACATTTCTAACCAAACCCAACTTAAAAACCAAAAGAAAAAGGCCAAAAAAGATATGACAAGAACCAAAAGACAAAAATCAGATCCTAAACCAAAGAAAAACATGAAGAGAAAAAGGAGGATCACGATGAATTGTGACCTGGGTCCGCCTGAAAGAACTTGAAAGAGAAGTGAAGTTCAATGAAGCTCCAGTTAAAGAAGCCATTGAAATCGGTTTCGATAGATGCAAGGACGAGAGAAACAGAAAGAAGAGGCGGAGATCACGAAGACACAAAGATAGAAGGTGTTTAAGTTTAAAAGAGTTCAAGAGTCCAACGGTTTTATAGATGGCTTGCCTAGTTGTTTGCTCCTAGTTTTTAAGTTGCGGAGAAATTCGTTGGCCATTCCCATTGCACCCTTTTCATAGTTTTCATCGAAAACCACATTTTAAGACTTGCCCACGAGTTTCATTTCTCATGCCACCTTCTTTCTTTTATTGATTTCATCGTTTTTTGAAAAAAAAAAAAATCTTTGCTCAACGAACATAATTTTATGACTAATTAATTCAACATACCATAATTTTATTTGTTCTGATTTTGACAAAAGAATCTGAGCATATCATTCATTGAATCTTGTAATATCTTAAGTTATAACAAAATAGTATTAGTAAAAAATTCGTATAGATGCGAATATCTTAATAAATACTTATAAAAATTATTAATATTATAGTTTCATAGGTATCAATAATGTGATTAATGGATAGAATATTAAATTATTAATTTTAGTATTTTAGTAATCAAGATTTGACTCATAATAATTTTAAGTTAAAAAAAAGAATTATAATCCTATAATTTTAAGAGATAATTTAATTGGAAGTCATGTCTTTTTAAATGCAACAGTTACTAAAATCATAGTTAAATTATTACTAAAATAATCCCAATACCTATTACCAAAAAAATGTAACAATTAGTACTAAACCAAGTTTGAATGGTTAAGTTTATTTTGATGTAGAACTTTATTAAATATGCAATATAATGAGAAAAGAAGATGAAAATAAAATGTATGAAGGATGGAAAATAAATGGAAAGAAATTCAGTGACTAGGCATAGATTATATTCACAAATTTAAGTTAAGCCAAATGTCTTTCTTCATGCATTTTGGCCACCAAAATGTGCCGTTGATCAAACTCATTGATGAACACGAATCAATTAAAAATAAAAAAAAGGTAATTTAATCCACATTATTAAATTGGAGAATAAAGGCAACCAATATTGGTTAACCTAAAACATGAATTGCATGTTTCATGCTTGCATAGGTCTTTGACAATTTGGTAGCTATATGGGCAAAATCAATGTCATACCGATCGTGTTTGCTTTTCAGTTAATACGAAGACAGCAAATAATTTTGATAGATAAATTGATAAATTGGACGACCATAATCTAATAGAATGTGTTCGGTTTTTTTATATTATTTTTTAATACACAAATCATCATTACTTATGTGTGTGAAATTCATACTTAATGATATATATATGTATATGAACAATGATGATAATATTTCAAATGTTTGAGCTCATATGAATTAGGGGCAAGAAAAAAAAATTGAGAGATCTAAAAATCAATTTGAAATCGTATCGTTTGATTCGGTTTAAATTGATTTTTTTGTTATTCAATTCGGATCAAATTCATATATTAAATATATATATTAGATTTGATCGAATTTTAGGTCAGAGGGTGAAAAATTGAATCGAACCGAATTATATATATATTTTAGTTTTGATATATATTTAAAATTTTTATAAAATAAAAAAATAATTTTATATCAACATTTACTTAAATATATTAAAATAATAAATAAAAATTACAAAAATTAAAAACTAAAAACAAGTAAACAAAACAGAATCGAATCGAACTGATAAAATTCAGTTCAAATCAAATAAAAACTTAATTCGAATTCATATTAGATTTTAAAATTTTATAATATTATGTAATATAAAAAAATCTAATCTAATTTAATCTGAACTAAACCATTATTACTTTTAATACGAACTTTAAAATTCTACAACTATTTATGTACTTGTCCAATTTTATTATTGAATAAAATATTCGCTTTGCAGTTGCTCATTATTTACCAATCTCAAATTGTGATTGAAAAACATTCTTGACCTATAAAAAGTTAGTAATTAGGTTAACCAATAATGGGGTTGAACCATCACGTAGGCCACCTATTTCGAAATCTTAAATCTTATCTCACGCTATGAAGCTTTTTCTCTTTAATGTACCAATTAGATTGCCTATCAAAATGTTTTTTTTTTTTTATTATTGTTAGATAGCCTAACTTATCTTCCTAATTAAAAAAAAAATGTTATGCATAATAATTATAATTAATTAATATAAATATTTTAATAAAAAGGGGTAATGACTTAAATTTAATTTCCCTTAAAGTGAAAATAATGCTTTGAAAGATTTTCTTTGTTTTATTTTCTCTTTCAAATGAACAAATTGAAAAAAAAAAAGAAAAATAGTGCTTTTCAAGGTTTTTCTTTATTAGGTGCCTTTGCCCATCATCATTTTTATTCTTCCATGCATAATTCTATTTTCCTTTGCATTTTTTTTGGTGACAAAACCTTTCAAATAGTACTATTTATTTTTATCATTGTTCAATTCAAGGTAGAAAATGAAAAAGAAAAAAATGACAACCAAAAAATAAAGGACATAATTTTTTTTTCATTTAATTAGTATATTTTATGCTTTTGTTTAGTATTTATTTTTGAAAAATAATTTTATCCACAATTTTTTAAATTTCATAAGATTAGCATAATAACACATATCCCTTAAAATATATAAAAATATATAAAAAAAATACCAATCTCTTAACTCTGTTTATAGAATTTAAAAAATTATATTATTAATGTATAAAAATAAAATTATTTATTTATTTACTTTTATAGAGAACAAGATAGGAAAGTACTTCAAAAGAAGACACATTTTATTTGACCTTTTTCTCTTTTAACTTTCGGTGAGTATTATTTTCATTTTTTTTTCCGTATTTTCCCCTCTTCCGAGCTTTTAGTGGGCAAAATAAAAAAGTTCAAAATTCCAATTTACGTGATGACCCATAGCTGGCTTGATTAATCAGCTTGTCGAAATGGCTTGCGTCACGGCTATGCCTTAAGGCCCAAGATTAAGATCAAAATGGGCGTAAGAGCAAATTACAAATTCACACACAAATATATTTCTTTTTTTAACTAAATCAAACCATATTTATAATATATAATTGGCCGAAAACACCAAAGTTATAATACTCATTTTCACATTTTATAACTATATTGGACATAATAAAAATAAAAAAAATACAAAATACTATAAAGAATATTTTATTATAAAAAAATTTTTATTCCAACCATAATAAAATACGTTAAACTTAAAAAAATTAATTAAAACAAAAAAAATACCTTTAATTTTATTTTTTATGTTTTTCTATTTTCTAAATGAAACAAACTCCTTTTTGACATGCATTTAAAAATGAAAAACTTTCCAAACATTAATATATTTTTATTTTTTAAAACATTATTTCTATTTTTTATTTTTTATTTTTTATTCACATAATGAATGTTTAAAAATTTAATTATACTTATAAGTAGGGTTGATCAAATAAACTCGAATTCAAAAATGGATCCAAAACTCAATTTGACAAAAATAAAAAGACTTAGAACAAAAATATTTCAAATTCAAATTTATTCAAATATGAACATGAAATAATTTAAATTTAAAAAATTTATATTTAGATTTAACTTGAATTAAAAAATATGTTAAAGTGGGTACATATTTTATAAAATTAAAAAAATAATTAATCTGAATTTGAATCTTCTAAATGAATCAAAATTCAAAAAAATTTAATTTAAAATAATTCAATTCAAAACGCACCGCCTTTGCTTATGGTCATCTATTAACTTTTTTCTTATAAAAAATTGAAAGGAAAAGCTTTAGCAAAAAAAAAAAAGGAGCCTAGCCGGCTAAAGGGTAAAGCTGGAGCTGTAGCTGTTGTTAGTTGAAAAAGAAAGGAAAGGAGAGCGGGTACAACCGCTAAGAGGAAGAGCAGCAGCAAAGTGTAAGAGAGAAAGATAGACCCACCCAACCCACGTAACCAACGCCACATTCTCCAATGCAAAAACAAAACAAAGACGTAACCTTTCTTTGCTTTTACTGCAGAGCTGTGCTTCAATCAAACTTTTATAGATCAACTCCAATCTTCCTCTTTGCTTCTGCATTCTCATCTCCATAATTATAATGTAATTTCAAGCTTTTTTTTTTTTTTTTTTTTGCTTTTGTTCACTTTGCTTTAGAAAGACCAAAGCTTTTAACATTTTTTTTGGCTCTTTTTTTTCTTGTCATCTTTGCAGAGCCATGACTTCAGAGCTCTTGGAAATTCACCCTCAAGAACTTAGATTTACTTGTAAAGTTCCTTTCTTTTCTGTTCTAAATTTACTTCCAAACAAGGTTAATTTAAGTTTTCTTTACATGGGATATCATATTTGATTCATTCTTTGGTTTGTCTCTTACTGAAGTTGAGTTGAAGAAGCCGAGTTCATGCTTAATCCAATTAACCAACAAAACTGACCAATATGTAGCCTTTAAGGTAGGTACTAGCTATCCTTACTTCAAAAAAAAATCCAATTTTAATTTCTGGGTCTTTTTTATTTTTCCATTTTCTGACCTGCTTTGAATTGAATTCTAAGACTTGGATTCAACTACAATGATTTTCAGGTGAAGACCACTTCTCCTAAGAAATACTGTGTCAGGCCCAACACTGGCATTGTTAAGCCCAAGTCAGCATCTGATTTTACAGGTTCATTGATTATAAAGTTTTTTACTCTGTTGATTGTTAATATGGAATCAGACCTTTCTTGACTCAGCTATTTGATTTTTAGATTCTGGTACATTTATTTTGTTAAGATTTAATTCTAGCCAATTTTAAAACCTTGTTTGTCAGTCATTGATGGGTTTTGGTTGGTTGGTTGCTTGTGGTTTTAGATTGAGTGGCTCTTTTTGAGACAAAATTAGTTTGAAATTAAAAGGTTAGTTGACATGTCTTTCTACTGAAGTATTGCCTAACATGTTTTTGAAATTAAGTTGGTTTGTGGAATTTATGGATTGGTTATGGAACGTATGTAAATGGGTTATTTCCATATGTGCTCTGCTCTCAACTAACATAGGATGCCAAGCCAAAATAATGGCAGTTATTGTTGTCTAGCTGATTGGTTATCTGCTTACAACTATAAGCCTATATCAGATGCAATGACTATGATGTTTCTTGGTTGGTGAAGTTACCATGCAAGCTCAGCGTGTTGCTCCGCCAGACTTGATGTGCAAAGACAAGTTCTTGATTCAAAGTGCAGTAGTTCCTTCCGGGACATCCGAGGAAGACATTACATCCAACATGGTATGAATTTGCCAATGCAATGATTGTTCCTTTTGTTCTTGTGATTTCTTATTGTTTTCTATTTGCAGTTTTCGAAGGAAAGTGGCAAACACATTGAGGAGAAGAAGCTAAAAGTATTCCTTACTAGCCCACCACATTCACCTGTTTTGGCTGCAATTAATGGAAAGTTGAAACAAGATTCAGGTCATGAAACTTCATCTCCGAGGGATAGAGCATGGACTGGAGTTGAAAACATACCTCCACCTCAGAGGGTAAGTGCATTTTGTCATGTTATAGCTGTCTCTATCTTAGAATTGGCTACCATAGTTTGCTTTTTATATTTGGTTTTGAAAGAAGAAAAAAAAAAAAAGGAAATTTCCTTCTAGCTAGGCATACAAGTTGTGATAAGGACCTAGTGTAATAATTATTTTGTCTTGTGCTAGGTAGCGGAGGATCTGCTGGGGTTTGAGACTGCTAAGGATGCTGTCGAGTTAAGAACAAGTAAGGATGTTCGGCAATTTGAAACTTCCAAGGAGGACACAGAAGAGCTAAGAGCAGCTGACGGAGTGCAATCAAGTCCTGCCAAGGATGTGCAGGAACTGAAACCTGCAAAAAGTATGGAGGAATTAAAGTCGGGTGACGATTTTGAGGAGTTAAAGTCAAAGATAAGTTTTATGAATTCAAAACTTAAAGAGGTTAGTAAATTTTGTTCCTTTTTCTTCTTAGATTTAAGTTTAGTGAGGCTATTATGTTTGAACATGCTCTTATTTCTTAGTAGAAAAATGACAACCTAATTTTTGGTGTGATTTTTATACTGAGTTCCTTACCTTTACATGCAATATATCATCAGGCTGAACTTAGTATCATGAAGCTGACAGAAGAGAGGAGCATGGCTGCTCAAGAGAAGGAGAAGCTTAAGAGTGAATTAGTGAGTGACATTTTCATTGCCTTTTGAACTACATTTATCTTTATTGTTTACATTATTTTATAACATTAAACTTTAAAAGAAATGCTCTGTACTCTCACTAGCTTTCTAAAATTAACACAGTGAAAGATCAGAAACTTGTTAAGATATAAAACTATCCAATTAACCAGAATAAATAGTCATTGAATCAAAATTGTGGGAAACATTATTAGTTTGACACTTATGTTAGATCAAGGGTTGGTTCGTTTTTCAGTTAATAGCTACAACAGGAGCTACTGCAATCGGCAGTTAGTCACTTAGTTCGCAAATTACCTTTTTTTTTTTTAATCAACTCTATTCAACTTTACAATATTTGCATTTCCTGTTTGTAGGAGGTGTTGAAGAGGAAGTCTGATGTCAAAACAATTCAGGTGGGTTTTCCCTTCCTCTATGTATGTATGGTGGCCCTCATCAGCCTGGCAGTTGGATACTTTAGCCATCTCTAGGAGACAGTTTCTGCGCATGAAACGGGATTTCTTTGGGAGAGAACAAGTGAATGCTTGTGATTGTTTATACAGGGTCTTATTATCTGCTGCAACACCAAAAGTATAGCCTTTTTGTATGTTGTACGCAATGTAGGAACCTCTTATTGTTTTGTACGTAAATCGAACAAATCTTCTGTAAGAGAATAAAATTAGCCATTGGCAATTGATTGTATCGAGCTCATACCTGATATGCTTGACACACTGAACAACTCAATTTACAAAAGAATATTACAGTGAAAATTTTGTGAGACATTTTATCAACCTGCGTTCATATAATCAATCTGTTAAGCTTTACCCCATTCATTTTGTAATCCTAATGCAAGTTTAATTTAATGAAAGTCTAGTGTAACAAAACTCCACATTAAACATGCCCGTGACCAAATTATTACTTTTTTTTTTTTAATTCGAAGTTAGGCAAGAAATTGAACCTTACTCAGGATTAATAGTGCAGTATTATTATTAACAGATCATGTGATTGCTGACAAGGAGATTTAAATTTTATATTTTGTTGTAATTTTGAAATTTTTTTCTAAATGGGATATTAGTTATAGGAGTGAGTAAATGATCGGTTCGGTCGGTTCGGTTTGAAAAAATCAATAACCGATTTAATCGATTTTCATTTAACAAATAACCGAATCGACTGAATATTATTAAATAACTAAACCGATCAAAATTAGTTCAATTCGATTGGTTTAGTTAAATAATCGATTTTTTTATCATTTTTTTTATTATGAATAATTATTTAACCACAAATTCAATTCAATAAAATTCAAACTCTAGTATCATTCAAACTAAATTACTAAAGAACTTAATAATTTCAATAATGTTTTACAAAAAAAAAAATAAATAAAAATATTTATCTTATTTTTTTATTTTTAATTATTAGAAAGTTGATTAATTCGGTCAGTACAGTTATTAATTTTAAAAACTAAAAATCAACCGAATTAACCAATTTAATTTATTTAAAAAATCGATTATGACTAAAACTGAATAAACCGAACCGATTCAATCGAATTCACTCGATTTCAATCGATCTAGTCGATTCAAACCGACTTTTGCTCACCTCTAATTAGTTAAACCTCAAAAAATGATAATTGTTTTTATAATATTATACTTTTTATATTTGCAAGAGTTAAAGTGCTTATTGATGTAATTAAATATTAGATCTTTGAATCCTTTATAAAGAAGTATTATTATTGTGTAAGTAATTGGATTAGAATATTTTTATAACTACCAATGCCTATGAATCATTGAGACTCGTATTCTCTAGTAATCTTAATTTTTATTAAGTTTATTATAATGCATCAGCTCAATTTTTCTTAGTTTAAAATTATCATAATTAAATCTTGCATATTCACTTGATCGATCTCTAAAATTTAAACAAAAAAATTTATTTTTAAATAAAAAATGTTTCGTTTTGGTTTAAAAAGTAAACAAAAATATTTAGAAAAATCAAAATGAATTCTCTATCATTCCAAACAGTCTAATTAAAATCATGGGGTAAAGGTGAATATTTGATTTTAAATTGGATGATTAATTATTTTAAGGTAAAGAGTACTATTCATCTCATTACAAATCTTCATGGGTAATCTGAAAACATGAAATAAGCTAGTACCTGCTGCCTTGATCAGCACTTCCCTCCCACCCACCATGTATGCTGCTTGCAATTTTTCAGCTTTTCCAATACCGTACCCCTCATCCATGACCTTATATTTTGTTCTTCCCACAAAATTTGAATCCCCAAACAGGTACTTGAATTGCATACAACTTTGATTTTTAGACATAATTTCACCCGTTGTTTTACTTCATCTGGTGTGTCATAATATTTATGTGTCACTACTGAATCTAATGCTTACAATAAATATTTTTTCTTGCCGCATTTAAGAAATGTCAAAATTTTTATTTAAAATCTTCTTTACTTACCTACCAATCTAATCTAAAGACCAAGATTTAATCTTATTTCTCAAAGGCGAAGATTAATCCATATGTAAATGGATTATTGGTGGGTTTAAAACATACAGCCAATTTCCTATACTTTATAGATTAAATTTAAAGTGATTCTAAAATAGAATATAATCCTTACAATAAACATTTTAGACTTTAGAGAATGGTGGAGGTGTTCACGTCATTTTTTTTTTTTAATTTTCATTTAGCTTTTTTTTGCTTTTTTTTAATTTTTACTTTTTATTTCTTTACTAGATAAATTTTGTAAGAAAAAGTAAATAAAAATAAAAATGATAAAATAATTTGTATGTGATAATTTTCGATTCATTACGATTTAATATATATGTTTTTTTTAATATAATATATATTATATTAATAAAATTATTATTAAATATATTAATTTAATAAATTCACGTGATACCTCATTTGATTTTTTTTATCACTTGATTTTTATTTATTTTTTAAATTAAATAAATTTTATAAAACAAAAAGTCTATAAAAATAAATATAATAAAATAATTTATACATGATGGTTTCTGTTAACACGTTAATATACTTTTTTAATAGGGACGATTTTTTTAATAGAAATTAATTGGGGGCAAAACCTTTTTTTTTAAATCAGAATTGGGTTAGAGACTGGTGTAGACTGCTTCGTCTCATCCCGTCTCAAAATATATTTTTTTTATTATTTATTTAATTTTATATTTTTATATATATTATATTAATAAAATTATTATTTGATATTTTAATTTAATAAAATACTATATTTATATATATCAAGTTAAGGTCTAGTATAAAAAATAATAAATCAATGTCAGATTGGAGTTTGGACTAACATAAATCCGTCTTTACTCAACCTGTTTCCATCCCTAAGTGAAGATATTCACGTAGCGACCACAGTTAACTATCTTTCTTTCCTTTTTTCTAGGACATTTTCTCATTTTTTTTAGTGTTAGCTTTTTTTTTTTTTAATTTTTTTAACTATATTTGGAAAGATAATCCTTATACAAGTTATAAGAATGAAATGCATGCATTATCCACAAATTAGTTGATAAATTTTCTCTAATAATCACTTTGATTAAAAATTAATAACGAAATTATATTAATTAATTTAACATTTTTATTAAAACAAAATATTTAATTTTATTACTTTTAATTTTTTGGATTTTTAAAAAAAGTTTCTATATTTTTTTAATTTCTAGGTTTTTTTTATAGAAATTTTTATAATATTTATGTTTCTAAAAAGAGTTTATAAATTAAAAAAAAAATTTACATGCTTTTATCTTATCAAATGAAGAATAAATCAGAATCACAAGCTCTGACGATTTCGTTATTTCTTTGTTTTACCCCCATATTTTTATGCTCATCCATTTCAAATATACCAAAATAGAACAAATTCTATAGACTTGTATCTTCTTTGTAATTTATTTATTTTTTATTTAAATATTTAAAAAATATAAAAATTTTCTAAAAATCATAACAAAAATTTAAAAATATATAAAATTTTATAAAAATTACAAAAAAGTTAAAAAAATTAAATATTTTCATTAAATAAAATATTAAATTTTGAAAAAATAAAATTTTTAAAATTTATTTTTATTTAAAAATTAAAATATTGAAAAAGTAAATTTAATATTTTTAGAAAAATAAAAATTTAAAAAATTTAAAAATATTGAAATTTTCTAAATTTGTAAATATTAAAAAAATTAAAATATTAAATATAAAAAAGAAATTTTAATATTTTTAAAAACTAAAAAATTTCTAAAAATCAAAATATTTTTTATATTGGAAGAACTAAATTTCAAATTTTGTGTGAGCACAGTAGACCTACTCATGGACCAGTTGGACTTGGCATGATATTCTAGCATTTTAAGAACATTCAAGCCCAGCTCAACCCAGATTTTTTCGGGTCACATTTTTTACCCAAACCCATTCTTACGTGTAATAATAAAGTTCAAATATGTTTAAAGTGTTGATATTTAAAATTAGGGGAAAAAGTTTTTATTTTTATTTTTTTGTAAATTATTAATTTAACTAATTTAATTAATTTTAATTGAATTAATGAGTTATTAGACTTGGATCAAATTTAATTTTATTAAATACAATTTAAAATTGGATCATTATTTTGTATAAAAAAATTAATTTTATAATATTATAAGTAATAAAACAAATGGACCTTATTCATTATAAAAAAAAAAAACAAATGAGTTTTGTCTTATTATAATAAAAAATATTTTTGAATTTTTGAACTGGACCAAGCTTTAAATGGTAAAACTCAAGCTTGATCATATTTTTTAATCAAGCTTCATTTATTTATTCAAGCTTATTTAACATGCTTAATATTTATGTCCAAATTTTTCAAAATTTTGAGTAGACTATCCAGCCCATAACTAGGTCTAAAGTATAGGAATTAAATTTCGAATTTCGTGTTATTACAATAATTATTTGTATAATTTAACAATTAATTTTATTAATCTAAATTATCACATTAATAAGTCAACATCTAATCAACAAAGTCAATATCTAAATCATCAAGTTAATGATCATAACAGTATTTTTAACAATAAAAAATTGACATATTAAGATTATCAATTTAAAATAATATAAAGACTAAATTTGTATGAATTATAATATAAGAATTAAATTTTAAATTTTTATAAAGTATAAACTTATGGCGTAATTTGGCAAAAAAAATAATAACCCTTTGGTTGAAGTTGTAACTAGCATAAAACCAACTTACTCGATTGGTTTTCATCTTTACGGGAAGATATTCACGTGGCATCCGCATTTGGCTCTCTTTCATTTTTTTTTTTTCCTTTTCATTTGGACCTTTCTCTTTTATTTTTTATTTTTTCTTCTTTATTTTTAATTCTATATTTTAATATTTTTTAATTATATTTTGAAAAAATTAAATTTGCAAGGGAAGATTTATATTTGATTTATTACAAATTATGAATATGAAATGCATATATTATCCCTAAATTAATTGATAAAATTTTCATTAATTATTGTTTTTATTAAAACATTAAAAATAAAATTATACTAACTGATTTATTAAATTCACGATAAAATTTATTAATTATAAATTAAAAAAATTTTAACCAACAGCAAAGCGCAGACGCAATTCCTTAAAGATTTAGTGGTTTTTTATGCCTTTTGTGTTCAATCTTTTGGCCGGTTGTGAATGCTTGTGATTGACATGCTTTGCAACGTACGAGGAATTTCTATTTTAAAGCATTTTAAAATCTATAATATTAATATTACTAATATACCGTCCACCAATTGC